CGTGGCGCTCAGGAAGGACACGGCGCCCCCGGAAAGCCCCGCGTAGCAGCGGCCCAGCCGCACGCGCCCCTTGCGCAGGCCTCGCTGCAGGTCTCGCGCCCCTTCGCTGCTCACGGGGTACTCGGCGCTCAGCCTGCGCGGGCGGGGGACCCCGGTGAGGGCGGGAGGTTGTCACCTGGGTGGGTGAGGGCGGGGCGCGGGGACCCCGTGAGACTCACATGATGAAGGCCGTCACTCCGATGGCCCAGATGTCCGTCTGCGGCACCGCCCCCTGGCCGTCCAGGAGCTCGGGAGCTGCGGGGGAGCACGGGGGGGGGGTGAGCGCGGGCGCGGGGCACAGGTGATCTGCACAGCGGGTGGGTTCCGTGGCCGTGCGGGCCCTGGCGCGAGGCGGGTGGGGTGGGTGGATCTGGAGGGGCCAGGGCCTCCTGGTACGCACCCATGGTCTCCAGGTAGTCCCTGAAGTTGTCCGGGGGCGGCACCTTCTCCCGGCGGAGGCTCTGGGCGTTGCCCAGGTCCACCACCTTGAGCAGGTTGTACTCCGTCACCATCATGTTCTCAGACCGCAGGTCCAGGTGCAGAATGTGCTGGGCGTGCAGGTACTGGGTGGCACTCAGCATCTGCCACAGGTAGTCCTTCACTTCAGACTCCGAGTAGGAGGGTCTGGGGCACAGGATCTCAGGTCAGGCCCCGAAGTCGGGGGGTCGGGGCACCTTACCCACAACCGAGCCCCTGTGGGGAGGGAGTGGTGGGAAGTACCAGAGGAAGGACAGGGACACTGGGCTGGGGGAGGGGGCATCCACAGCCCCCTCCCCAGAGCTCTGCACCCATCGCTCCCCCGTCCTGGGGCTAGGGCCAGCCCAGGCCGCCAGGTACCTCTCAGCCAGGCAGGGAAGCAGCTCAGGTCCAGAACACAGCTCCAGGATGAGCACCAGGTGCCGCGGGCTGAGGTAGGCGGCATGGAGCTGGGCCAGATGGGGGTGGCGCAGCCGCTTGAGGGCCTCATACTCCCGAAGCACAGCAGTCTTGTCTTCAGGCCAGTAGGGGACAATTTTAGCAGCCAGTGCCCGCCCGCTCACCTTCTCCCGGCACTGCCGCACCACACTGAAACGCCCCCTGGGTAAGGGTGCACGGAGAAGGCATGAGCGGTCCCACACACTCGGAGAGGTGGGCCACGCTGAACAAGCAGGCAGAGGCAGGCGGGCAGAGGCAGGGCGCACTGGGCAGGTGCCTTGACCCAGCGCAGAAGGGAGGGGAAGAGTATGAAGAGCTAGCAGGGGAAATTAAGGCAGTGTCTCCACTCGCCAGCCACCCCCAGAGGCCCCTGCACCTCCTGATCTGCATCTGGAAGGCGAAGGTCTTGGTGCTGGGAAGGGGCTGCACTGGCTGCCCCCAGCCACTCTCCTCCTCAGAAGCTGTGAGAGGAGGAGTCAGTGGGGGGATCAGGGAGGGAAACACCAGCACCCTAACTCCCCAACTTCTCCCACCCTCCTTTCCCAGGCACCAGACAAATGGTCTCTTTGTAAGTCTCCCCACACCCGGCTCTCTCATTTTGTGAGGGTACGTGGATAGGAGAGCACAGAGCACAGAAGCAGGCACCATTACGTAAGTGTGTGCATCCCATGTCAGAAGACTCTCCAGGACAGACCAGGGGCAACAGTCACACCATCTGTGCTCTTCTTCACCCACATCGGATATTACTAATCAGCAGCACCCTTCCACCGAATCCAGACACAACACCCAAGGAATGTTACCACTGATTCTCAAAGGAACACTGGGAGGGCTTGTTCGCTTGGTAGAAGATCACAGGTGTGAGTCTAAGTGGAGAGGGGCTGGGGGTCTCAGGAGAGAGCAGGCTCTGACTGTTGAGTGCAAGTAGAGCTTTCTCTCTCCTAAAAGCTGTGGTCAGCCCCAGGGGCCATGGGTAGGAGGACATCTGAGCCTAATCTGCTGACCACACAAGCACATCCACTCAACAGGGGCTCACCCAGGTAGCTGGGCCCTCCGAGGACAACGTGTTCCGAGGGGCTGCTGTAGGGCCCCATTCCTGCCTTGCTGACACAGGCCGTCCGGAAGGCATACGTGCCACCCCGGGACAGCCTGCTAGTCAGATAGCAGCAGTCAGAGAGGTCGGAGGCCAGGGTGGTCCAGCTGCCACCTGGGAACACAGACATGAGTGAGAGAAGAATCCCTCCCTGAGGCCTAAGCAGGCCCCGTGTCTCCTAGGGTCCCTTGGTGCTGACCCTGTGGAGACCTGGGCCTCAGCCCCCCCTCCCAGGAATGTGGGCAAAGGGACCACGGTGTACCTTCCATGCAGCACTGCACAATGTAGGTCACGGGACCGAAGGATTCTACGGGCTTCCAGACCAGCAATACCCTGTCCACATACACCTCTCCGATGTCTGGACGTGGTGAGGCTGAGGGGCGCTCTGCAAGGGCCGCCATGGTCAGCTCCCAAGGACTCACCTCTGGCCCAGTCCTGCCCCACCCTCAGCCCCAGACCCACCCTCTCCTGGAGGGAGCACTTTCCCAAGAGTCAGTCAGACATCTGTCAGCCCATCCTCCTCCTGGGCTGGCTCAGGCACACGCAGGCCTTGTCCTGGAGGCTCAGGTCTGCTGAGCTCTGCCCCGAGTACAGGGCATGTGGGGTCAGCAGGCTGGACTCTCTGGGGTTCAGGCTGGAAAACTCAGAGCTAAACCCCAAAGCACAGAGTAATGTCTGCAATCATATCTGATTCTTTCCCGTCTGCTGGGCATTCTGCTTCCTCCAGGGCAGCACCGGGCCCCCATTCAGATCCCTCTCTCTGTAAACCTTCTGCAACACCCCAGCTCCCAGGGAGCATGCAGATACCCTGCAGTGGCCATACGACCCCTGCGATGGGAGAGCGTGTGTCAGGTAAGCCCTCTGCTCAGGCTTCTAACGTCATCTGCCTCGTGGAAGGAGACAGGGTCTCCCGGCACCCCCAGCCTTGCCTTCCCTGGTCTGACGGACCTCTGACGTAGTTCACACACCTGCCTTCCGGAGGACACCGGTGGTGGCCACCGTCCCCAGTGGGTTGCTCACACTGCATGTGTACACGCCTAGGTCCTCGGCAGTCACCACCAAGATGGTCAGCAGCTGGAAGTTCTTCAGGGTGGATGAGATGAGGAGACGGCTGCTGCTCTCCAGGAGGGCTCCGTCTGCCACAGACACAGCAAGCCTGGCTCTCCTCTTACAGGACAGCCACCCGCAGACGCCCCAGCCTCTGGGATAATGCCTTACCTTTGCTCCAGGTGGCCTGGGCAGCTGGCTGGGCCAACACCTGGCAGGCTAGCGTCACGGACTGGCCCAAGACCACAGTTTCATCAGAGAGCTCCCTTAGGAAGGAGGGTGCTGAGGGGGGACATGAGATGAGCCTTGAGGGGAGACCACCGAGTTCAGCTCCAGCCCAACCTGCTGGAGCTCTGTGACAGCTCCAGCCTGTGGCAGCTCCGAGCACCTAGGATGCTCAGAGGGGGCCCCTGGAGGCCATGGGAGCCTGCTAACCTTGGTCCCTGCCCTTCAGGCCAGACAGCCGGAAGGAAGCCAGGCCTGCCTTCTTCCTAGGGGGCTCCTCCTTCTCAGGGCCTGTAGGAAGAAGGGGTCATGATGGCGTGGTCCTTGGTAGCAACGCTTCTTCTGTACCCCCCAACTTCCAGGTCCTAGGGGAGAGGCCAGGATCCCAGGGAGTTTGTGAACACTGGGACTACACATCCCTCCCCCCTGCCAGTGGCTACGCTCACTGGGGCAGGGCATGGAGCACAGGTGTCTGGAGGCTGGGATTCATGGCCCAGAGTCTGCAGTGGGGGAGGCTCTAGGAATGAGAGGACCAGAGATCAGGAAGGACTGGGGCACCGCAGGCTCTGGGGTCCGCGGACCCCCTTCCCAGGGGTCAGCCTGAAGCTATCTGGGGCCTGGGTATTCAGTAAGCACTGAGGCGACTACCCAGGCTGCAGGGCGGGGCTAGGGGGTGTGGGCCACATTCAGCACCGGGAGGGGGAGCCCTGTGGGATCAGCAGACCACGGGAACAGGAACATCACCTTCTGGTTTGCCCTTGAGGATCCTGGAAATGTGAGCCATGGAAGCCTTCACTCTCTGGCGCAGGCCCAGCTCTGTGGGCTCCCGGTCGGCTGGCAGGTACCTGGAGGGGAACTGGAAGAGGCTGCGGGACGGGGACCACTTGCGCTTCCTGCCCATAGCGGCCTCCCCTAGAAGAGCCTCCAGGTCCTCGGGCTCCTCTGTGATCTCCAGGCCTAACTCGCTGGGCCAGGGCCATGCAGCCTCCTCTGGGAACTCCGCCAGCCCCGCCTCCCCCTCAGCCTCCGGGGAGGGCGGCTCCTGCGGTTCTGAAGGCTTTGGGACTCTCCGGAAGATCATGAACTCGAATGGGAGGTATTTAATGTCATACAGATCAGAGAGGTTGAGGTAGGCAGGGTCCACCTCAGAGATGTCCAGGGATATGGTGTCAGCTGCCTCAGCGTCACTGGACAGGTCCCGGATCTGCACCAAGGAGACCTGTCCGATTTCTTCCCACGAGGTTGGCTCTGGGGAGGTCCTCAGGGGGACCCCACTGGCCTCCCTCCGGGGAGCCCCACTGGCCGCCAGCACAGGTTCTGAGCTGGCCTGGGGCTGGGAGCTGCCAGCCCCGACCTCCTCCTGCTCTTCAGAGGACTGGGATGTGGCCCAGGCCATCCTGGCCCACAGCGGACCCTGCCCCAGCAGCCCCCCCGCATCCCCCCCAAAGGCAAAGGTGCCGTAGCCTGAGACCCCTGCGTAGCCCCCGCGGGACTCCAGGGAAAACTTGCGGGTGGTCGCTTGCTCCTGAGGCTTCGGAAGGCGGGGTGGTGAGTCTGGGGCATCCCCGGTGTCCTGCCACAAGCTCTCCGTGGCCAGGGATGGTCTGGGCTCTGGGGTCACCTTGGAGGCTGGAGAGGTGTCCTCAGGCCCTTTCTGAGAGCCCAGTCGGGGGCTTCCCTGGGCTGCTGTGGGGGCTGTCTGAGGCTGTCCTGAGAGGAAGGGCCTGCAGGGTAGGGGCCCTGCCTCCTCAAATGACCCCAGAGAGACACAGCCAGGGGGCTGTGTGGAGCAGGACCCACAGCCCTCCTGCGGGAAAGCACCAGGCTCAAGGTGACAGCCTGGTTGCCCCCGATGGCTGTCCTTGGATGCCCCCGCTTGTTGAGCAGGTCCTACGTCACCACTGACAGGCAGAAAAGGGGGCCCTGTCTCCTCAGGGTGTCCCCCACCCCGGGCAGAGGCCCCCAGGGGTGCTGAGGGTGGACAGTGTCCCTCGCTGCAGGCCTCCGAGGAGGGGCTGGTGGTGCCCGGCGGCTGACCCAGGGAGTGGCTGAGGCCAGGGGCCTCACGGGCCTTCGCGCTGGGCTGCTGCAGGCCGGCCTCGAAGGAGGGCGTCTTGGTCATGAGCATGGCCTGCTCCTCCTGGTCAGCCTCTTCCTCCAGCGCTTGGTGCTCCATCAGCGGCTCACGCAAGCCGGGCAGGGCCTTGGCAATGTACCCTCCTTTCAGCAGGTGCCTTCGCCTCGCCTGGTGTCTCCGGACCCTGGGGGATAGACTCCCGCGCTCCGACCCCTCCCCTGCCTGCTGGTAGAACAGGCTGCGGATGACACTGTGTCTGGGCACGGAGCCAGGCGACGCCGGCGGCCCCGTCCCTTGCGGCGATGTGGGTGGGCCTGCGGCTTCCACGGCCGAGCAGGCCTCGGCCTCCTCTGGCAGGCTGGAGGAGGGCCGCAGGAAGCCCCGAGGGTGCAGAAGTGGAGAGTGGGAGACCGGGGAGGGGGGCAGCGACTTGGCTCTGGCGAACGGGGCGAGCTCGTTGTCTGAGGAAGAGGTGGAGCTCGAGGAGCCGCTGGCATCCCCGCGCAGGTGCCGGGCCACGCCCAGGGACGGGCTGTCGGGTGGGCCCTGGAACAGCTCCGGGATGGAGCGCATCACCAGGATGGACTTGTAGCTCATCAAGGAGCGCTGCGGGGCAGTGAGACAAAGGGGTGACAGGCAGACACGGCAGGCCAGGGCACTGAGAGAGTGACCACTGCCCCCATCTTCTAGACCTCTAATGGGCCAAAGAGGGTCCCCAGGAACAGCTGGGACTGCACCCCAGGACAACCAGTGTCATCGACACCCACCACCCAGTGACCTTTTCATGGGTCGCACACTCAGAGGGGCCTGATCTGAAATGATACAGGCCCCCCCGGCTCCCCTCCACTCTTGGCCTAGGTGTACCTACAGTCAGTCCTCTTGGGGTCTCAGTTTCCCTTTCCTGGACCTCAGCCACTCCTGGGGTGGGCACAGCTTACCTGCCAGCGACTTCGAGCCAAAAGGAACTTGAGCTGCTTGGTGTTGATGAAGTGGGCCTCCTCGGCAGGCATGGACCTCTGGGGAGAGAGGGGAGTGGACAGTCTTACAGATGGGACACCTGGGTGCCCGGGCCCAGCTGGGCAGGGGCCCTCGGGAATTCCATCTTCTCAGACTCTGGGTCCCAGAAAAAGGGTCCTCACCTGGATGTCCATGAGGGCAGGTCAAAGGCTACAGGTCAAAAGGGACCGTTACCCTTTGCACCTGCCCTCCTGGCAATTCCTCTGTGAGGCTTTCAGATCCCTTCGCCAATGTGAATGCATGGGTGTCCTCTGAACTAGAGGACAGCAATTCTGTGCTGATGGGTCCCGTGGCCCAGACCGCCCCTGCCCCTGTTGACGTGTTTCCTTCCCTGCAGAGCATGGGATTGAACCCAAACCAGGCCTACTCACCAGGAACCAGGAGTGGGTGAGGCACTGGGAGGCACTGGGCCGGGCCCTGGAAGAAGAGGAAAGCCCAGGGCTGGGCGGTCAGAAGCCCTAGGGCAGAGGATGGCTGCCCTCCCAGCAGGGGCGGGGCAGGCGGGCACACACCCAGGAGCCCTCTGCAGTGTGGCCCTAATGAAGTCCTTCGCATCTTCAGTCAGGTGGGCAGCCATGGGGCTGCTCCAAGATACTCGCCCTTCCAGAACATTCAACAGGGTGGCACGGTCGCTCTCACCAGCAAATGGGGATGAGCAGGTCAGGCTGGAAACATGGGACAGAAGTGAACCTTAGATGAAACTTGGGTGGCGTTTCATTGTTTTTTGTGGGTTGTAACGACCATTCCCATCCAGCCCTGAAAATCAAAGTGTCAAGCTTTTCCAGAAAGACTTGGGGCTCATCTTGGTGTGGGCATCAAGACATTAAAGCCTGGGTCATCTAGGCTTATAATGGGGTGAAGATCCAGGCTTAGGATCAAGGAAGAGTTAGCCTGCAGAGGTTCCCTGCTTCGCCTGCGGTGGGGATCAAGGCTCAGTACACTGAGGAGATACTACTTGAAGGAGGGGTGTGAGCTAACCCTGACATGATATTCTGTGCTGAGGTTGAGACAGAGACCCAGGTTCATCCTGGAGTGGGCCTTCATCCAGGGTAGGGACTCAGGTCTAGAGCTGGACAGAAATCTAGGTTCAGCTTGGGTAGCAACTAGCCTTAACTTGAGGGAGTTCAGGTCCCAAATTAGGCAGAGATTCAGGGTTAGCTTAGGCTTTGCCCGAGGTTGGGACTGGAGTTCAGTCTCTCAGTTTATAGCAGCAGCAGCATCCTTGGGGCAACTATTATGAGTGCCCTTTGGACACCCCTTCCCCCACCCCTCCAACCTCAACTTAGCTCATGACAGCAAAGTATCTGTGAGAACGCTGGATTGGAACCTCCTATCAGGGCTGGCTAGTGGCCTGTTCCCAAGATAGCTGGCCCCTAGGTCATGAGTCTGATCTGGGGGTTGGCCAGCAGAACACATGGCCTTTGGGGGCCTGCAGGGAAGAAGTTGGCTTTCAAGGGCAGGGACTGCTCACCTGAGGTAGCAGACGACCCCCATGGCCCTGTAGGAACAAAACCATACACAGTGAGTCTCCCCAAGTATAGCATATAGGCAAAGGGTCTGTGTGTGCGGAAATGACGGTTTCCGAGAGGACCCTCTGGCCCCCCACTCAGCAGTCAGAGGTCTCCCCAGGAGTGGAGGGGGAGGGAGTTCCAGGGAAACTGCAGCCCTGCCAGATGCTAACCTACTCACCAGATATCAGAGCCTGGGCTCACGGGGCTCTGTTCGATGATCTCAGGGGACACAAACTCAGGAGAGCCATACTTGCTGAACTGTGGCTCTAAAGGAGTGATCTTTTGGGCAAAGCCGAAGTCACAGATCTTAATGTCTTCACGAGCAGGGTGCACCATCAGGATGTTAGGGGGCTGCCAGGCAGAGTCAGAGAGTTGGTCAAGGCCACACCTTGAGAGGGAGGGAATTTCTGGGACTTCCTAGCTCAGGGAGCACTGGGGTCCAGGAGGCCAGCATGGAGCAGCAGCAAGCCCTCAAAGCAGGCTAGGGACAGCTTGAGAAGGACCTCTCCTCCTTCAGAGTCAAACACTACCTGGTGAGAGGTTCTAGGAAGTAGTAAGCTCCCATCTTCAGTGGAAAGCAAGCCCTGTCAGGTAGCTGACACAAAGGTAGGGGCCTGCACCTTCCCAGTCCACAGACGGCAGGCTCCCACCTGCCCCCACCTTACCTGGGCTCTCAAGGTACAGGGAACAATACCTTTATGTCCAGATGGAGGACATCATGGCTGTGCAGATAGTGCAGCCCCTCCACCAGCTGCTGGATGTAGACTTTGACCTGTGGCCAAGGCAGGTGTTCAGGTGAGCCATCCGGACTTTCAAAGGCCCATGCCCAAGGCCCAAGTCCGTCCACAGTCCTGTGCCAAGGCTAGGGGCCCACTTCACACCCAACTTGCTCCAGAAGACAAGCTTTCCTCCTCACTTGGCACCCAGGCTAGGCCTCACAGAGTTTGTGGTGGGCAAAACTTTCCTGGACCCTATGTACCACAGGCCTCGGGGATTCTCCAAGGTGAAGAGTGTTTGAGAGAGTAAGAAGCAACAACCTAAGAAAAGTGGGATGTGGGGGAGAGAAGCAGCCGGGGTTCGCCCAACTGGACATGTGTAATTGGGATGGGGATAGATAGGTAAGATGGGACACAGAGATGTGAAAGAACTTGGGATGTGGACGGAGGGGATGGACATCCTGGGACCCCTGGGAGCCACAGGAAGCCTTCAATCGCAGGGTCCTGTGCCTGGGGCTCCGGGTCCAGGCCTGAGAGCAGGCCTGCAGCCGAGGCCAGAAGGGGCACAGTCACCTCAGCTTCTGTCACCACACCCTTCTTGAACAGGCGGTCCAGCAGCTCCTCGGATGAGCACCTGGGTTTGGTCAAGGAAGAGCTTCTGGGATTTGGAACCCACCTGCTTCCTGCATACCATGCCCACAGAGCAGTGACCATGACCCAGGAATGGTGGAGGCCCCTGGGGTGGCAAGTGATACCTAACCCCAAGGGGAGGGGCTGCAGACAGACCCAGGCCTCGGGCAGCGGCGTGGGGGGACTGGTATATATCCTCCACCCCAAGGACTCCCACCACAGGAAGGGAATGTGGACTCGGGAGAGGGGTGGCCAGCTGATTGGTAAGGGAGCACCGCCTCTCCAAGGGGACTTCCAGGGTCCTGTGGAACTGTCACCACCATATTCCCAGTAACCCAGGCCTGCTACCTCTCCTTGAACCCTCCTCCCCGGGGGCCAAGGGCAGGATACAACTCCAAAATGAGAATAAGAGTCTTCCGGGTCTCAAACTCGTCCAATAGTCCAGTGATCAGGGGGTGGCTGAGTGTAGCCAGAATGTCTCGCTCGCGGTAGCCCTGGGCCCTGGTTTTGCTCCGCAGAGGGATGAACTTGGCAGCACAGAGCATCTTGTTTCCTTTGTGTTGTACCCTTTTCACAAAGCCAAACACACCCCTGGGGAGGAGGGGAAGAGAGAGGGGAGCCGGCGGTGAACAAGGTGCGGATGGGAGGCCCTGGAGCCTGGGGGCGGGGGAAAGGGCTGCGGAGATACCTCCCAATCTCTTCTTTGACCTCGTAGAAGGAATGCAGCTTCCTTCGGTAGCTTTGTTTCTCTGAATCTGGCTTCCTGTCTCCTGCAGCCAAAGCATAGGAAATAGACTGCATGGACAGAGGTGACCCCCAGCCACCCCCGCTCCAGCCATGGGACTGGTGTGAACAGCTTAGGGTGGCCCGTAGGATATTAGTCTAGGTACCACCATGTGGGGGGGGGAGGGTATGGCCCCTTGCTAGGACCTGGAAAGGGCCACATCTCTCTCACCCTCACAAACCAGAAGCTCTGCCTTGCACAGCACCTGTCCACCAGCATTTTGGGCAAGACAGGTATAGATGCCAGCATCGTGCTGAGACACATCCTTCAGCACCAGGGAATACACGGCTCCATCCTGCTGCTGGCTGAGCCGGGTGCTGTCCACCAGCTGGACACTGTCCTGGAGGCACAGGACAGGCCATGTTGCCATCACCCCGAGCCCACCCTACCCTTCCAGCCCAACCAGCCCAGAGCAAATGTGCGACAATGCAGGAGTGTCAGCTGCAGACCACCCCCTCCCCTTGCGGGAGCTGCCGTCTGCGGGCAAGCCCTCTCCCATCCCACCTGTCCTGGGCCTGCGCCTACCTTGTACCAGGTTACTGTGGGCTGCGGGTTGCCCTCAATAACAGCCTCAAACTGTGCGGTGTCCCCTGCCTGTACCTGCACATCCTCAATGGTGACCTGCATGGACGGCGGGCCTGGAAGAGGTAAGGGGAAGCCCTTGGGGAGGCCCTCCCGGCTGAACGCACCGTGCAGGCCTGGTCCTGAGGTTTTCCCCAAGGCCACAGACCAACCTCCTGCCTAAGAGACTGTCCACCTCCTGTTTGCCAAGGCCCCTGGTGGAAAGTATTTCCACCCACCCACTGTCCCTTCAGCTGAGACTTCAGGGGGCCAAGCAGTTCTGGATAGTCGGGCAGACTGAAGGGGACCACGGCTCTTACTCTTCAGAGTGACCAGCAGACACTGAGTCTGCCACTGGCATTCCCCCTGGAGGAGGGTTCCTGCTTCTCCAAGGGGAGCGTGGGCCGAGGCATGCTGGGTGGCATGAGCTAGTTTCTCACGCAAACAGTTCCCATGCTGGACACATACACGCCCAGCAGCGGGCCACCCCCGTACTTGCAGCACTAGCATCTGTGGCCTGGTACAAGTATGTCCTCTGTGTGGTCTCCACAACCATGTGGCTGTGCACGTCCCAGAGCCGCTGCCCTGTACCTGCTCCGGACCAGCCCGGGCCCTCCACCCTGGAATCACAGCAAGGAGAGCCTTGGTTCAGCAGAGGCAGGTGGAGGCCAGCCCTGAACTTCACGTGTAGCTGCGTCTCTTGATAAGATGAGGTCCTTACCCAACCCAATTTGTGGAGCCTGGGGCAAAAACTATGCAACAAGCTATGCAGACAGAAGGAGGGACATCTCTCACCCGAGAGTTGGCTCTCTCCTGGCCCCTCCTGCCAGTGTGGGCTGTGGGCTGGCAAGGAGTACACTGACAGACTCCCTGAGGCCACAGGGCCAGAGCAGGCATGCGCTGCCCTGCCCATCCCTGATAACCCAGCCAGCTGGGGAAGGTTACCGAATGGGCACGGTCCGCTCCTGGGTCCCAGCAGAGGCTACTGTCTCCCGCTCCAGGTCTTCATGGGGGAGAAGCCGTGGGACCTTTTGAGTTTCAGCTGGAGGGAGACAAGAAGCCTGGTGAGGACCTGTGTGGTGCTCATTGTGTGGGTCCCCGCAGGTCTCCCCATCACCAGGCGGGGTGGAGGAGACCGTGGCTAAGGGAAGCTCCAAGTCCCAGCACCTTGCTGAGAACCAGGCAGGGTCCGCATATTCAGACTCGTGGCTCAGCAGACAGCAGGCCAGCGATGTATGCTAGCCACACTGCGGAGGCCAGATGCCAGGACTTCCCTGTTCTCCCGTCACAGTGCTCCTATCTGACAGCCGGGCTGGCACTGGGAAGAGCAGCCCCTGCCCTCCAGGCCACCCCTGGAGAGCATCCCGGAAAAAACCATGATCATGTTGACGATCTCAGTGCTATGAGAGCCAAGAGGCTTCCACAGGACTGATGTGAGGGCAGAACACAGAACGACGGACATCAAGCACAGATGCCCAGAGACGGCAGTGTAGGGCCCCACGGAGAACAGGAAGGCCCTTGACCCAACTCTACCCAGCAGACTCCGAGAAGAGAGAAAACACACTACACTGATTAGAAAAGGTGGGCTGGGGGTGGCAGCAGACAGATGGTGCATCCAAGGAACCTGAAGCCACAGGCATGAGAGCAGCCCCGACCCCTGCTGCCTGATGAAAACGGCAGTGACTGCGGCCAGGCGTCCACGCGTGGTCTGCAGGCTGGGGTGGGCTCTGGAGAGGCAGGCGCACTCCTGATCCCCAGTCAGTGGTCAGGACCAGGGGTGGACAGCGTCCTCTGCAGACAGGGCCGGAGTGAGGCTGACCTCGCAGTGGATCTGTGGCCAACTGGGGAACCTCTCGGTCCCTGTGTTCTTCCCCAGCCCCATCCACAGCGTACAGCTCACTGTCTCCCGCATCGTCTGCACCCTGCCCTCCTGGGGTTCTCCCTGCCTTGGTCACCTTTCCTAAGGGAGCGTCATGCTGTGCTGTTCCCTGGTGTCTCCACACCATCGTAAAGAGGCTCTCCTGACTGATCTTCCTTCGCTACCCTCATGCTGTCGCCTGAGGACGCCATCAGGTGAGTGTGGACCTGGGGCTGCAATGTTCTCCCCGAAGACCTCGAAGGGCCTCCGCCACTGTGAGCCCCAAGTACAGCTGCCCATGCTGCTGCTGGCCACCCCCCACTCCAGGCCACAGTGTTTGGGGAAATGGGTAGTGGGCCCCTTTCCTCCTGCAGGGCAGGGGGTCCTTTCTAGGGTTTGTTTCCCATGCCTACATGCACAGAAGCTCAAAAGCCCTGGCAGATGCAGGTTTCTCTCCATCTGGGTCTAGTTTGGGGGCACAGGAATGTCCTCTGGCTCTGACTTTGCCCATGATTGCCTAGTCTCCTCATCACGGAGTTGGGGGAACATGAGGCTTGGGCCCCAAACATGGCAGTCTGCCCTTGTCTGTCATCACAGGCAGTGCCAGAAAGCTCATGCCTGCAGGGCGTGGAAGGACATAAGTAGGCTCTCATTTTTACCCTTGCTTGGCTACAGTCCAGTCACTTCAGTGGCTGAGCAGACATGCTCCATGTGGCTGGCCTGCCTCGTCGACTGAAGCCCTCAAGACCTTGCACGGCAGCACCAGCTGTTTCCCTTTGCTCACCCGGTCTCACTTAAGTCTCTGTTGGCCTCACTACCCAGCCCTGCCGGTCTCAGCACCTGTGTCGCAGGACATGGCTCCTCCCAGCGCTCAGCCTCAACTCTGGCCCTGTCCGTGGAGGGCTCAGAGAGTTAACCATTCCTGGACCACCAGGTGGGGAGCAGGGGGTACCTCTCAGGTGCCCACCCTGGTCTGCAGGAAGGGTCTGGATGCATAGCTGCAATCCTTGCAACTGAATCTGCATTAGGCAGCAGGACCCAGAGGAGCTGTCCCCTACCTGGAGCCTCAGTTTCCCCCAAATGTACCCTCTGTCCTTAGGGAGACATTCACTCAAGTACTCCATATTAGGAGCACCTTACCCACCTAAAGGAAGAGTCTTGGGTCACAGTGGAGTATCCTATGGGGAGAAGCATCCTAATTCAATCTTACTCTATCCCTCCCCCTCCCTCTCCATCCTCCTTCCCATCTTCCTCCACTCTTCCTTCCACCTGTCCTCCACTTCTTCTCCTTCCTCCTCCACTCTCGCTTCTTTCTTTCTCCCTCCATTGATAAGAATGGGGTAACCAAGCTGGCCAAGGACCAACATAGGAGGCTCCTGGATCTTGAGAAAGACTTATAGTGGGAAGATCCTTCCAGAGCCCATCCTGTCCCAAATCCACACATGGGATGTTGAGGCCAAATGGGGGTGGGTTTCCCCCAGGGTGCACAGTTCATGAGCCATCAAGACTCCAAATCAAGGTCCCAGTGCACTTATAGCTCACGCCCGCTCACGCCCGCTCTCGTGGGATGCGTTGGCTCTTGTCATGCCTTACCGGCTGCAGCTGAGGTTGCGGTGCCCGGGGGTGGGGGGGTGGCCTCCTGGAGCGTGGTGCCCGGGGGTGGGGGGGTGGCCTCCTGGAGCGCGGTGCCCGGGGGTGAGGGGGTGGCCTCCTGGAGCGTGGTGCCCGGGGGTGGGGGGGTGGCCTCCTGGAGCGTGGTGCCCGGGGGTGGGGGGGTGGCCTCCTGGAGCGTGGTAGACCCTCCTGAAAGGGCACCAGCGAAGTCTTCCACTGAGGGGCCCAGAGACCCAGGGCCCAGCAGTTTCTGAAGGACAGATAGGACTTTCTGGTCTACTCCATCCAGGGCTGGCTGGGCAGGCTCCTCCAGGGTGGTATCTGTGAAGAGGTGGGTTATCACAAATAGGGTAAGGCAGGGAGGGAGAGGGTTCTGAAAGAGAGTGTCAAGGCAGGGGTCCCCATCCCAGTCCTCAAAGATTGCCTAGGTGTAATCCTAGCTAATCAGGAGGCTGAGATCTGAGGATCACAGTTCAAAGCCAGACTGGGCAGGAACATCTATGAGACTCTTATCCCCAATTAACCACCAGAAAACCAGAAGTGGTGCTGCGGCTCAAGTGGTAGAGTGCTTGCCTGGAGCCCAGAGTTCAAGACCCATGACCGATGGGGGGGTGAAGATTGCCTACGTGTGCTGATCCTGCTGACACCCCTAGCTATTTCACCCCCCATCTGCTCCTCACTCAGGAGACTATTCAAAGAAATAGGAGCCCCAAGACCCATGCTGGGGCAGCTGCTTCCTCTGCCTGGAGGAGAGCTCAGGCCCAACCCTACCCCCCGACACTTCAGAGGCAGCAGGCCTCCACCGCCACGCTGTGTGCACCCTCCATCCCCAGGTTGGTTTTCCTCAAGGCTGACTCTAGATCCTAGGGTGCTGGACTGCACAATATCAAGGGCTAGGGTGTCTCGGTGGCCACAGCCATGGCCTTTCCTAAGGACAGGTCCACCTCCCAGACGGCCCCAGTGCCCACCCACCCCTACCTAAGCAGAAACACCCTACTGTCCACCCGCAGTCCAGCCAGGCCCAGCAGCCTTCCCCTGGCCCTTCTCTCAGCCTCCACCTGCCCCTCCCATGCCTTCTAGGTTCCTCCTAGCATGGCTCCTGCCCTTGTCTCAGGCAGGCTCTTCCAGACCTGCTTACTAACCCCTGAGCTGTCTCACTTAAGTGTCCCAGAATGTGGCAACATGACCAATCCATCATCATTAAGTTCCTTTCCAGAACCTTCCCCACTCCAACCCTCCTCAGGCCCTGCTGGTAATGATCTCCTGCCCCAAACTGGACAGGCAGCCATCCTTCCTTTCCCACCCTAAGATGTCAGCAGTATCCCAAGGCAAGCCTTGTGCTGGAGGTCCGTGGAGCCCTGTCCCCAGCAGCAGCAGGGACCATGGCATTGCCAGGAGCATCTCTGCTGTAGAAGCCAATCTCTGGATGCCAGGTGCTCCGGCCGGTCACACGTGTGACTCCCCAAAGCCCACCTGGTCTACAGCAAACTGTCCAGGGCTCAGAAAGAGCTGCTCAGGCCCCTAGAAGTCCAGAATGACTGTTAGTGACTACCTTGGCCAACCCATGTGTCCCCGGGGTCTGCTCCCACAGCTTGTATGTGGACAAATTAGGTCTATGTGCGGCCACAAGTTTACCCAGAGCCTCAGAAAGGCTGGGATGGGACATATGGGTGCTTCACTGGGGAAGGAGAGTGGTACATGGCCCCAGTGTGACCTTGGAATCAAGGAATGGGGGTGACTGGCTAAAGCCCACCCAGGGCTACAGCTGGAGGGGACCTTGAGAAGCCCGGTGCAAAAGCAAGAAGGAGCAGAGAAGAGCAGCAGGGAGATTTTTATTGTTTCTATCAGAGCCAAGATATGGGGTGTCTTCCCAAATGCAGAGCCTTTGTCCACCTTGTGGAGAAGATCCCAGAAGATCTTCAGAGCTGGTGATGGGGGCCACACACGCCTTGGATGTGGTCCAGGGAAAATCTCTCATGAGTCTTGGGTCACAGTCTCCCAACCTACAGGACAGGCCTGGCAACTGTGACCCACAGTGAGAAGTCAGATGCCCTGATTTATGTTGTGTGTGGCCCTGACAGGCCAGGAAGAAGCTGCTCCTTGCCAAGGCTCGTTTGAGGTGACTGAACACTTTCCAACGTTATGGGGCTCTGTCCAGTCCTCCCAGCTGAAGATCAGATCCAGTGAGGTAGAAGGACAGGCGGTGGGCTGGCTCATGCTCATACTTGTTGATCAGCAAGGGTGTCAGCAGTCCTAGCGCACATTCCAAGGTGAGCTGGGAGTTTCCTGAGGTCAGATGAGAGTGCCCAGCAGGGCTACAAGCAGCTTCCCTCCCTGCTGTCCCCACGTCACAATGGCAGCAAATAAAGAGTATCTGGCTCTGAGCGTCTCACCAGCTGGTGCAGCCTCAGCTCTGGGAGGGGCCAGGAGCCTCATCCTCATCCGGGCAGATGTGCAGAGTGACTGTCTCTCCCACAGTCCCAAAGCCAACCATCTGGGTGGAAACCTCCGTTTTGAAGCTACTCTGGCCACTGTCTGCAGAGCGCTGGAGCTGGGCACAGAAGGATGCGGCCCAGGGGTTGCTGCTCACAGGCTCTTGGGCCTCTCGCACAAGGAAGGAGGCACTCTCTGGGCTGCAAACCTGGGGTCCCAACCTGAAGAAGCCAGGTGGGCGCTGATGGCCCCGTGGATGCCCCACGCTGAGCAGGACGGGCTGCCCCACCGTCGGCTCAGTAATCTCTCTCTGGAGCACGGAGACCTCACAGGGTGGATCGTCAGGAATGTGGGGCACAGAGTCCTCACAGCCAAAGTTCTCCCCTTCCTGGGGCACATAATCTTCTAGATCAGCCAGGGTTAGCACACGGCCATTATGTGTGAGAATTTTGGGGTCACGGCTCCCAAGGCCGCCGGTGTCCTGGGGTTCCTCTGTCACAACGGTGCTTCCGTCCCCATCACTCTCCCCCGCCATCTCCTCGGCGCTCACCTCCTCTGGCTCAGGGCTGGCAGAGCTCCCAGTGTGCACACAGAAAAACAGAGGCTCACTGACGCATGCTGTAGCTGTGCCCTGAGCTCCAGACTCCTGGTCCAGTCGCTTGTTGTTGGAGTTATTGGTGTTGGGATCCTCCCCAGGGGTCCCTCTAGGTAGTGTGAAGAGCAGCTCCCCTAAGCTGCCAGGGCTCTCTCTGACAGGAGACGCGCCCGGTGATCCTGTCTTCTTCACTCGGACTTCAATGGTCTCCTCAACCTCCAGCCACTCAGGCCGGGGCCCAGCACCACTGGGATGAGCTGGAGAGAGGGCCTCAGCCTCTGTCACAAACAGTGTGGGTACAGCAGGCCTCCGGTCGGGCTCCACTTTGAGTGTGCGGGGCTGGCTGGACCTCGGTGGGTACAACAGCTCGGCAGCCAGCTGGCCTGGCCTTGGAGGGCTGGCAGAGCGGCGGGAAGGCGAGCAGGAGGGGGATTTGCCAGGGGACCGATGTCGGCCACGAGGACTCTTCACCACGGTGGTGATGGTCTCCTCTCTGGTAGGGGGAGAGGGCCCAAGAGGAGGTGGGTACAGAGACCCGCAGCCTCACCATGCCATCAGCATATGCCAGTTAGTGCGTGTGCGTGAGTAGGAGGGGGAATGAGAGTGCGCAAACTCCTACACATGCTCTCGAACCCAGTTTGCACCACCTCCAATCCAAAACTTGAAGAAACAAAGCACAAAGTTGCATGGGACTAGCTTCAGACTCTACACGGGATCTTAAAAGAACAGTCCAGGTATTTGGAAGGCCCATGCCACATCACACAGACAGGCATCTCCAAAAACCAGGTAAGGTCCAGAATATAATGTTTCCCTGTGCCAATCTCTCCTCATCGAACCCAGGAGCAGGCTTTGTGCTGTGTTCTGTGGGGGAGGGTGCACTGGGCAGTTCTCACTGGGTACGGCTAAGGACAGCTGCAGAGCTGGTGTAACAGCAGCATGCACAGGCTAAGTGCAGGCCAGAGCCAGTTTAACCTGCAGCCTCTGCTCCTGGCCTCTCGGGTGAAGGTGTGAGGCTAGTGAGGCTCCGGCCAGGCTGAAGGGTAAACCTAAGCTGGACAGCTAGCTCCAGACTTGCATTGGCTGTCACAGGGCATGTGACTGAGACAGGCCCTTTCCTTTCTGGGTTTCATCTTCCAAAATAGGACTAGAATGTCTGGGAAGAAGCAGGATGCAGCGCCAGGTACGTGAGGGTAGATGTTAGTTATATCCAGAGACTCTGCAAGCTTTCTCGTCTGACAGCCTGTGAGTGTTCTACTTTTCTCACAGATCTGAGCAGAGGGGGAGAGAATGGCTCTATACTTCCTCAGGGCCAAGTCAGAAACACATTAGCCACCCAGGTCCTCCTCGAAAGCGACCAGCAGGCGCAAGAACAAACCGACAAGACACAGGCTCCACTGTCCTAACCTTCCCTCAGGGTCAGGCAGAGGGGGCTGGAGACACATGGCGGCTGTGTGGTGCTGTCCCCAGGTGTGGACTGCACCTGAGACATCCCTCTCTCTTGTCTATTCTTTTGCTTAATTTGGGGCTTCATCTAGAAGCAGTTGCTCCCAAGAACAGGTCACAGACATGTGACCTTTGGAATGCTCAAGATCTCTGTCCTCATCTGGTAAAAAAGAAATGTTCCACTCCACCTAGCATTGAAACTCAGGCCTCCAACCTGGGCCTGCAGCTAAGTCAGAGCCTTCTCCAACGCCGGTGCCACTTGTTACCTAATGCCCTAGTCTGCCGTGAGGGCAGGGCTGGGTCGTGCTAGGCAACTGGTCACTCCAGCATCTTCCCTCTGCGGCGTCCATGAGGACACACGGGTCACCCCCCGGGCTCCTGAGTGGTCTGTCCCCATGCTGTTTCCTCAAAACTCAGACTGGAGTTACACTAGCATATTTCAAGTGCTCAAAACAAACATGTAGCTACTGTCTGCTACATGGGGCAGTGAAGATACATTATTCCTACCACCACAACTTCTGCTGGATAACACGGCCCCAGATGCTCCAGGCAGACAGGGGCAGAGTTATGTCTCCGGCCTATGGAGGAGACATTCTCAGCCTAACTTGTGGCAATCGGGATCCAGGCCCTGAGCGAGCAGAACAAAGTTGCTCTACTGGGGAAAGGGAGCTGTGGGTAAGGCATGGAGACCCTAGAAAAGATGTGAAGTGTGGGAAGCCAGTGGCATAGGAAAAGTGGCCGCCCAGGTGTCTGCAAGAATCTGCAAGGGGCATGCAAAGGCCACGTGTGCAGGCAGCCAAGCAAGCAGGTGGCCAGGAGACACAGGCAAGAGCTCGGCAGGTCCAAGTTAGTGGCATGCGGGCACACTGCAGTCAGAAGGAAGGTTAGAAACACGCCTGCACTTACATGATGACGGTTTTCTTGGGGACTTTAGTCTCCTGCTCAGTGACTACAAAGAAAACAGTCGGAACAGCAAGGGTTACCTTCCAGCCAGTGCCAGGGTGGGGTAGGGGGAGACTGACCACCTGAATGGCATGGCAGTGTGGAAATCTGCTCAGCTTAGGAGTCTGGCTAAGTTCTGCCTGGCAGTGTTTCTCTGGCAGACCCGCTCGGCTTGGAGTGCTAGGCCTCCTTCATCTTTGGAAAGGAGGTGACGAAGTCTGTGTGTGGCAATAATGCATCACACAGGAGGAGAAGAGCTGGGATGCCTGTTGGGAGCACAGGTCCTCCCTCAGCTCATGGGTCGGCTTGCCCTGGAAACTTGTCAAGCATCTGGTCCCCATCTCAGACACAGAAACACTTCCTAAGCACCAGCAGCCACACTGGAACTGGATGCTGATGTCTTTTTCAGCCCAAATCCTAAAAGCCAAAAGATGTGGGGCACTGGAGGCCTAAAAATGCATGTTTGAGCTCATGGTACGAGGTCACAGCTGTCCTGCCAAAAGCAGCCCCCACAGGGCACCCGAGAAGGGTCTTGACCTCTGCATGAGAAGAGCAAGCTGTCTTCCTACAGGAGTACTCACAGCCCACAACCTCGGTGGCCTCTCTTGCTTGTCCCGAGCCAGCAGGACCCACCTTACTGGGGGAGGACCAGAGGTGTGGACAGGATGGGGCTCACCTGGGAGCGGGGCACCTGCCTGGCCACAGGCCACAGGCAGCTTCTACCAGTACCCTCGCATCTCATCGGCCTTCTATCAGACCTTATGGGGAAAACTGAGCTGGAGGCCCAGAGCACTTCGCCTGTGTCACTTCCTGCCTTGCTACACCATCACATCAATAGGCTTTCTCTTAGGTAGAATTTTAAACGTGTCTCAGATGAAGTGCACTAAAGAACTAAAGTACTTGCTGTGCTTGTGCATTTGGAAGATACCATTCCTGTGTGTGTGCATATACATGCATATATCTTGCAAATATACGCAAGTGCATGCAGGTGCATACATGTATATATGTAGGTATATGCACATGTGTGTACTCACACATGTGCATGCATATGTGTTTGTGCAGGCTTCTTTCTAGGGAGGGATGACCATGGAGAGAGGAAGACTGGCACTCAGCCATAAAGCTCCATGGATCCCAGAGATAGCCAGCATTTTCACCACTTTCAAGAAACAGAATGATGAGAAAGCTCAGGACGTCTTCCTCTGTCCTTCCCAACAGGCTCCCCCTTTCTAGCTTTGGGGACGGTAGACAGGACGCTCTGGGCTGCCAAATCCCTAGCACCTTCATCCACGGTCCTCAGCTGCCGATGACCAGCTGTGGGCCTGAGTGAGTACTGGCAAGTACAGGAGGGGTGCAGCTGTGCAAAGCAGGGCTCCTGCCTGGTGCAATTCACAAGCCAGAGGGCAACGCCCTCCCAGCAAGGCCTGCCGGGCCGGCAGAGCCACAGGGTTAAGAAGAAGCGGCAGGACAGGAGTTAGGAAGCGGGGAGGCATTGGGCTCCAACTCCAGGTCTTCAAGAACCAGCCTCTTGCCTCACCAGAGTATCAACGACGCAGCTGGCACTGGTGGGCCCCAAGGCCTGCTCTCCAACGCTGCCCCCCTCCTCTGTGCCCAGAAAGAGACTCCTTGTGATAACCAAGTGAACGACAGTAGAAGATGCTCTGTCCCCAACCATGAGATGTGGACGTGCCGGTGGCGGCAGAAGCAGCTGCACATAGTGTATGGTCACCCAGCGGTGGGGCCCACGGGTACCATGGGGCCTTTGGGGACACAAATCAGACACGGGAGACTATCAGTAGAAAGGGACTTGGCCAGTATCTGTGGCCCTGTCAGGGACAGGGCGAAAGGACCTCTGTCTGTTGAGGAACAAGTCTCCGTGAGAACTATGGACTGCATTACAGGTCCCAAGGCTGAGCTCCGGGGCTCCAAGGGCCTGAGTTCTGGAAAGGTCTTCAGAGGGAGAGAGCTCAGGGATTCAACCTCAAAGGGATGGTTTCCAGTGGCCAAACACCACAGTGGCCAGCTGTTAGGCCTCGAGGGTGTCAACTCTACTCCATTCTATTGTGGGAGTGGGCCCAGCCTCTGCTCGAAGACCCCAAGAGAAGAGAAGTTTTCCAGCAGCCCCTTCCAGGTGCACAACTGCAACTGGGAAGCACAGGAAGTTCTCCCATTGCCTCCTTCTCCGTCCTGACTGGCTGAGCCAGCTGGAACCTTGCAGGAGAAACATGTCATAACCTCTGTCCCCTTCTGTCCCCAGTGTGGCTTATTCTGAAGCCTAGTTTCCTCCCAGGGGCCCAGCAATCGACCCAAGTTAGGCCAGGGACACTAAACAAATGATCTGACCTCTACAGGGCCACGCCCAGCCTGGAGCAGGGAACCGGGAATACCTGCTGCATGCCACAAAAGTCTCCTGCCACCCACTCTTTTTTTGGGCCAGTGCTGGGGCTTGAACTCAGGGCCTTTTGATCTTGGCTTTTTCACTCCAAGTTGGCACTATACTACCTCCATGTCCAGCTTTTGGTAGTTAACTGGAGATAAAAGTTTCATGGACTTCTCTGCCTGGGCTGGCTTTGAATTGTGATCCTCAGATCTCAGCCTCCTAAGTAGCTAGGGTTCCAGCCTGAGGCACCAACCTCCAGTCACCTGCACAGGGCCTCCCTGATCCCTAGCAGTAAGGCTGAGGTGTGGTCTTCGTGCACATTTCCTGCTGTGCAGAGCATGGAGCAGGGCTCTAGGATCCTCTGCCCACCCAAGGCTGCTTCTCCAGTCTTCACAGCAGGCTCGTGGTATGGGCTCCGCCAGACTACACATGGACAGAGAATGCCTTGCAGCTGCCTTCTCTGGCCCCTCCCCCACCCTTCCAGCCACAGCCCTTCCTTCCCTGAGATGCCAACCCTGGCCCCTCAAGGAAGCACATCCTGCTTGGAGGGGTGATGGTTTCAGCTTCACTGGGCTCCGCTCAAGCCCACGGAGAGTGCAACCCAAGGCATAAGACTTAGTAAGCCCAGCACGGCAGGACCTACCTTCCACAGCAGCCATGAGCTGCTCCCGGTGGCGCTGGTCTTGGGCCCTCAGTGCAGGGCTCTGCATGTACAGCTCTCCGCCACCACGCGTTGAGCCCAGTCGATTTACCAGCTGCAAAATGGATGGCAGAGGTCCTCTGAGAATCTAGGGCTCCCCAGAGGGGTCTGGCTATGCTGCTGGGGTCACTCCGGTGGCCAGGAGCATGGAGTTCTCACCCTGACTGTGTCTCCCGCAGGGCAAAGGGGTCTCTGCCCAGCTATGATATTCATACAAGGTCTCTATAATGATGGAGCTTCTCTCTGCCTGCCCCACCCAATCTGGTTACTGGCCTTGGGGAGCAGAGCATGTGAGTACATAGTGAGAATCTTTTTTTTTTTTTAAACCAGTCCTGGGGCTTGAAGTCTGGGCCTGGGTGCTGTCTCTGAGCTTTTGTGCTCAATGCTAGTGCTCTACCACCTGAGCTACAACTCCACTTCTGGCTTTTTTGGTAGTTTTAGTGGAGATAAGAATCCTGTGGACATTCTTGTCTGGGTTGGCTTTGAACCTTGGTCCTTAGATCTTAGCCTCCTGAATAGCTAGGATTACAGGGGTGAGCCACTGGTACTTGGCTAATAGTGAGAATCTGACTGGGAGTGAAAGCATTGCACGTGGCCGTGAACATCCGAATCTTCAGTTAGATCCAGAGCTAATGTTGGAGCTCCTGCTCCCTAGCAGACTTCCCTGTGGAGCAGGCTCCTTTAGTTCACAAAGAAGCCACACAGATAAGAACCCCAGGAGAGCCAGACAGAAGCCAGAGTCAGGGGCTTTAGGGACATCCACAGTGAGCATGACCTACTTAGGATCACCGTAAGGAAAGGCAGGGCTTCAGAGGCCCAGAGGACTCTGACTGGCTCCAACCACAGACTTGTGGATGCAGACTCTAGGAGCAGAGGGTAACACTGCTATGTGTCAGGCCAAAGTCCTGTGCTGGGCAACATCACTACATCTCTACACACGTGAGGAAAGACCAGGTCAGTACCAGGTCTTCCCCTGGAGGTAAAGACCAGGTGTCAATCCCAAGATGGTGGCAAGGGGTCAGTTGGTGGGGACCTGACCTGATGTGAAGAGGAAGCCACAGGTAGAGATGGGCAAGGCCCGTGCATGGGGGTGTGGTGGCTGAAGGTGAAGGGTGACACGGAGGATGGCTGGTGAGGAGGAGTGTCCCTCCCCACACACCTTACCTCACACTCATAGTGCCCCAGGTCCTCCTTCGTGGCTGTCCGGATCACCAGCACCAGCACACCACTACGGGGCTCACTCAGCATTCGGTACTTGCTGCCAGGGGTCAGCGGGGCCCCGTCCTTGTACCACCTGGAACAGGCGCCAGAGAGACAGGGATTGGGCCACCCTCTGCTAGGTGCTCAGCGCCTTTGCTCATCTGGGGCACCCTGTGCTGGGAACCCACTCCGGTGTGCTATCCCCAGATTCCATTGTCCTCAACCCGCCCGCCCTTGGGAAGTCAGAGGACCCGGCCTGGCCGTGTCCTCCGGGGTACCCCATGTCTAGCATGAGTCTTGGCCCCATAATGTCCATTCTCTTTGTCCCAGCCTGAGCCTGACCAAGGGACTGTGCTACCCAGCCCTTGCACCTCAGACAGAGGCTGCAGTCCCAGGCCTCACCTGATCTGAGGGTATGGGGCACCTTCCACGGTGCAAGTGATCTGTGCATCCTCTCCCTCCACAAAGGGAGAGGCCCGGACCTTGTTCACAAACCGTGGGGGAACTGCAGGGTGAGGGAAAGACCAAGAATCATAAAGAGACATAGATAGCCAGAGACAGACCAGCACGGTGACAGAGATTCTGTGAGTAGAGCGGAGGAAGTGTTGAGGTCCTCCTTCACAGGTGCCTGTCCCGAGCCTGCAGGCAGGCTCTGGCTCAGATCAGCTGTCTACACCACCCTCTCGCCTGTCCCAGCCTCAAGCCTCGGCTGCAGCACCCCCCCTTCTCCAGAGGCTGCTGTTGTAGGCTGAGCAGAGTGGTCCCAAGCCCAGTCAGCCTCATTGCTCACCCTGCACCAGGATCTTTCCCAGAGTACTGGCACTGCCCGCGGCACTGGCCGCGAAGCACATGTACTGGCCAGAGTCCACGCCTGTCAAGTTATCCAAGATGAGGGCACATGAGCCATCAGGGTCTTCAATGAGGATGTGGTGAGGGTCCACCTCCACTGGCTTCCCATCTGCAAAGGAAAAGTGAGGGCTGTCACAAGAGTAGTAATCCTAAAGCCTGACTTTTTCAAGTACAAGAGTCTAGTCCAAGGCTGGTCCATTGACGGACAACTTGTATCTCTCAACATCTGTAGCACTATCTCTAGATGTCTGATCTCTCCTTTGGTTTCTAGCTCTCTATTTCTCCACCCAAACTTGTTTCTTTGTCTGTCCTGGGCTATCTCTGACCCTACCTGAATATGTCTCTAAATGCTGGTTTCTGTCTCTATGTCTCTAGTTGTCTTTGTCTCTGAGTATCTGCCATTCTGTGTCTCTCCATAAAGGGCACAGCCTAAACATGCCTTTGTCCAATTTGACAGTGGCTAGAAGCAGAGGCTGGACGGACAGGCCTCACCCCACAGAAACATCTCATGTACAGTCAGCTACGCAGCTACCCTGGCCTCCTTGGCAACTCCCAGAGACCGTGTCCTTGGCTCACAGGCTGTGGATGGACTCAGCTACTCTCAGTCCCTACCCAGCCAAGAACTTCCATGAACCACATGTCCTTCCTGCCTCTCCTCACCTATGCCCGACCTATCCTGCTGCCAGCTAGCCTTTACAGCTAGCCTCAGCACCCCAAACTCCCCCCAGACAAGTAAGGCTTGCTAACAGCTCAGTCCAAGCCTTAGTGCCCACCTGCCTTGTGGTCCCTCTCTCAAGTCACACTCTCCTGCTTTCTCTCTCTCTCAGCTTGAGTCCTGGCTTCATCAGCCCTTCCTCCGTAGCCAGTGCTTCACCTTCTCCATCTATGGAGCCCCTGCTCCGAGGCACAGAGCCGTTCTGCTCGTCCCTCCCTAGCGACCACCTTTTCCCTAGCAACCAAGGAGCACCAGGTGCCACCCATCCTTTAAACATCGGTAGTGGTATGTAAATATATTTGAGGATGGAAATTACAAAGTATAATAAATAAAAGATGGATGAAAAATTCTGCACTAAGTCTGTCTGGTATGAACACCCCAAACATCACTGACCACACATCCTTCCTGGGAGACGCAGAGGGAGGAGCAGACACTCGCTGTGGAGGACCCCTTCCCCACCCCCAAATGCTGAAATGTACAACATATTCTAACGGTTCTGGCTGTGGTCCCCAATCCAGAGGGACATTAAGCCTTTTCACAACCATCCACGACGCAGAGACCACCAGCAAAAGCTTCCACTTTAACTGTTCTGCTGGAGAGAGGCATCCAAGCCACCAACCTACACAATGTTGTTATAAGCAGGGAGCCCTTTGTGTGCTGAGGTGAATGAATGGTCTAAAGACCCAAACCACATTCACATGACAAAGACGCCAGCACAGGCTCAAGAGGCTGTTCTAGGAATCTCCAAGGACTCAGCAACTCTGAGCTTCAATGCCTTCTGACATCTAGTTTCTGAGGAACATCTTTCTCAAATGCTCTGATGTAAATGCTGCACGCTCCACCAGCAAGGATGGCTTAGAAGCCTAAGATTCAGGGCCTGTTCTCCTATGTGGGCAAAGTCATAATAACCTTTGTCCCTCGGGTCCCCTCCCAGCCACAGGAGGACGAACACCTCACAGGACGCTTTGAGTACTGGGGCCACATGGCCCCATCTGAGTCTTTCACTTGGTCTACCCATCAGGCAGTTCTGTGTAGGGCCCAGGCCAATTTCTGGGCTCTATAGTAACAGTTCCTTGTAGCTCTGCTGTGGTTTAGAGCTGGTGTGAATGCAGCCCCTAAAGGTCTGTGCACTGGAGCATACTTAGTTTTCTGTATGTAATGTGAGGTGGTGGGATCTCACAAGGTGGGGACAAGGGGAAGTGGATGGGGTCCCTGGGGCACTCCTCTTGGAAGAGATCGATGCTGGTTGCCAGGAGTAAGTCAGCTCACAAAAGCAAGTTGCTGTAAGAGCCAGCGCAGCCCAAATTCCTCTTGCTTACTGTCTCGCTATGACTGCTCTCTCCCTCACACTTTCCCACGTGACACTTTGGAGCATCACACTGTGATGTGGCCACGCCAACTTCACCAGATTAGCACCAGATTTCTCAGCCTCTCAACTCTGCAAGAAATCTCTTTACTTTTGAAAGAACCCAGACTCAGGCATTTTGTAAGAGTAACATAAAAATGGAATCTTCAGCTTTATCAGGAGTTCTCATGGTCTTTAGCAAATTCCCGATTTCTGTAACTATTCTACCAATGGCAGCTTCTGGCAATAGGGGGTATCCCATGGGACTCAGGCCCTGTCCTGTTCTTGATGCAGCCACCAGACATGTCATTTTTGAAAAATCAGCCCTTTGCACGCAACAGAACTTGGGTGACACAAGACTCCTGATACACTGAGGCCCATGACCCTCGCTGGGCTCCATTCTGAGGGAAGTGAGCAAGGGCCCAGCTGGCTTTGTTCCAATGGCTTCTCCCTTCCACTCTTGATGCAGAGCTGCTGGCTCCAAGTGGAGATTCTTGCAGCTCTACCACCATGTGGACTTGGATCATGCATCGTCCAGTTAAGCTGAAACCCAGTGGTACACACGGGCTGCTAGCTACCCAAGCAAAGCACCACCAGGGGAGAGGTGGGGTCCCGGGCTCAGCAGTGAGCTCACTGGAGTTCTTACGGCTCTGAGCCATGTTAGTCTCCATCGTGAATAGTGTGTGTGTGTGTGTGTGTGTGTGTGTGTGTGTGATAGTCTTGCTCACTTGACCTGGTATAAATAGCTCAGACATTAGGTTTGCTACTTAAGCTGGTTGCTATTAACCAACAAGTTAACTCCATGCCTTGTTGGGCTCAGGATGCTGATGGGGGACACAACTGCTCCCCCATACTCTCACAGCCGCCTGCTTGTACCACCATTGTTCCTGTGGGGAGCCACTCAAGTATAGTAAAGACTCAGTACAGCCCAAAAGAAAAACAGTAGGTAACTTTGGCCCACGGCTCCTTGGATGACCTCAAGCCTTAGAATATCCTGGCTGGCAAGAGTCTCTTGATTTTTTATTTATTTATTTTGCCAGTCATGGGGCCTGAACTCTGGGCCTAAGTGCTATCCCTCAGCTCTTCAGCTCAGGCTAGCACTCTACCAGTTGAGCCACAGTACCACTTCCGGTTTTCTGGTGGTTTATTGGAAATAAGAGTTTCACAGACTGGGCTGGGAAGGTGGCTCAGTGGTAGAGCGCTTGCCTTGCATGCATGAGGCCCTGGGTTCAATTCCTCAGCACCACATAAGCAAAAAGAAAAAAGCCGAAAGTGGCGCTGTGGCTCAAGTGGTAGAGAGCTCACCTTGAGCTGAAGAGCTGAGGGACAGCGCCCAGGCCCAGAGTTCAGGCCCCACAACTGGACCCAGAAAAAAAAACAAGAGTTTCACAGACTTTCCTGCGCGGGCTGGCTTTGAATCACAATCCTCAGATCTCAGCCTCCTGTGTAGCTAGGATTACAGGCGTGAGCCACCAGCACCTTGCTGTCTCTTGATTTTTCTAGGGGGCTTGGACTACAGATTTTCGGAAGGGCCTCAGGATCAGGCAGTGTCAACTTCCTATTACTTTATCAACTTTATAATGTCTTCATATTTAACAGTATTTGTGGCAGGGCCTCTGGGCCGTGTGTAACGGCTTGACTTTAGGAAGGGCTGCAGGCATTCATACACACAGCTAGTCCCCAGGTAAAAGACTCAAAGTAAGGCTTGGTGAGCTACGTAGGTGGCAACCCTTCATGTGTGTCACATACTGTTACTAGGGTGGGTGGTGCCAGTTTCAGGACTCAGCTGGGAGGAGAAATTGGAAGCTTAGACTTGGGGATGTCTGGACCCTGCCCAGGAGCCTTCTTTCCTCTCAGTGACTTTAATCTGGGTCTTTCTGTTGCAATAAATGATCTTTATAACAGCTTTTCAGAGTTCTCAGCCCTTTGAGTGGATGATTGAACCTCATGGTACTCCCCAGGTCGGCCTGTTAACCTGTCCAGGGTACTGTTCCCACTTAGGAGTGAGCGGTTGGTGTCTCCATCTTTGCTCCACACAGGCTTGTGGCTGCCTGGCAGCTCTTCAGACTCACCACCTCAGAGCCTGTCCTTATCCGCCACTCTCTTCCCTTGCCTTTCTCATTTCCCTGGGTACCTGACCTTACATCATGAGCTCATCTGTCCACCACCTGTCCCCCACCCAACCAGCTCCAGCTCCAGCTCCCGGACTAGGCCTGGCCTGTCCCCAACTCACATCCCAGACCCTGCTTATCGGACCTCACTCTATCCTCATCCCATACACAGCCTGTTTCTCTCCAGTCCCTCCTCCCAATTTCAGGGCCAGCACCCTTGAGGGTGAGGCTAGGGACTCCCTTGGCCCAGGGGTGTACCTTTATACCAGCTGATGATAGGTTTAGGTGTGCCGGTCACACGACAGGCCAACTTGACTGTCTCACCCAGCTCAGCTGTGCAGTCGGCCAGCTCCTCTTCAAAGTCTGGAGAACCTGAGGACCACACAGGAGGCCTCTGAATGGTCTTTGTGTGAGGTGTGCCCTTGAATATATCCTGACAGGCTGGATATGGCTGCTTCCCTCCAGGATCCAGGGGGAGTGAGGGTAGCTAGGTATGTACTGGGGATGGTGGAGATCATGAAGAAGACCCTGTTTTGGTTGAGGCAGTAAATTCAGAGGCAAGATCCCTCACTCTCCTGTCACGGAGCCCTGCTGTGCTGTGTCTTCACTGTGTTGCCCAAGTGCTCCCTACCTGGGCCAGGGACATCCACATGCTGTTCAACTCCCATCCTCTGAGGCCCCCAGCACTGTCCTCCACCCAGAACTGACCACGGAGGGAACAGAACCATCTGTCCTAGAAACCCTGCCATCTCTACAAGCCCACTGGGGTACTGGGCCAAAGACTGTGCTACCTGAACACTCAGTCTTGGGGGGTCCTATGACCTGGGTGCCACCCAGAGACAGATAGGATTAAAGCCACATGTCCTTCCCCAGCCATCAGGCCTGCCCCCCCAAAAAACCAACACTCACGCCACACTGGCAGGGCCAAGCGCTGCTGGATGCCAGAGATCTCCTTCACCCAGGAATTTTTGATGATGACGGTCCGTGCTTGCAGCAGGTATTTGCGCACCGAGTCCTCCCGCTCATGCCACACCTCAAAGGCACGGTCATCCCCCTCTACCTGGTCATTCAGGTCGATGCTGCTCAGCTGTGGGTGGGGAGAACGAGGACTGACCATCTCCTGGGCATGCCAGGTCTCGATGGCCGTGCCCAGACCACCCAGGCACAGTGACTACAGGTCTGGCCCCTAGCATCCATCCTGGAGACCGAGGGACAGACAGACCTCCCCTCACCCACCCATCTGCCCGTCAGAGCCCACAGCGGCTTCCGGCTCCCACAGACCTTCATCATGTTCCGGAACACATAGCTGAAGGTGTCCGTGCGAGAGTCTCTCCGGGGCTTGCAGATCACCAGGTGGTTGCGGAAGAGGAACACATGGCGGTTGTGGCCCTTCCAGGGCATCCGGGCCCCTGGTGCCCCCTCCCACACGATGAAGTGGCCCTAGGGGTGTGAGTGGGCAGGGGTTGGCCTGTGGCTGGCAGGGACCCATCCACAGTGCAAGACCTACCATCACCTAAGCCAGCACCCGCCCAAAGACATGCCCATCACGTGCCACCCGCCCTGTAGCCCCGCTGCCCCCCCCAGCCTGACCTGGCGGATGGGCTCTCCCAGGGCTTCTAGGGTGCCAGGGTAGTTCTCCATGAGGGACACATGCAGCTTGTTCTCAGCGCGCTGGGGCAGGGCTGACACCACCGCATAGGCCTGCTCCAGTAACGCGCAGTTCTGTCTGTTTCGGGCCTTGTTCCGGATCAGCTCCTGAGATGAGGGGCAGAGGGGCAGGACACCAGCTGACTCCAAGTCCAGATCTGTCCTCTGGCCCAGCCTGGACAGACCAGACATGGCTGTGCCTACCTTCAGCAGGGCCTGGTATTTCTGTATCCGCTCCACTGGTTGCTCCAGGTAGTGCTGAAGTGGGGGTGGGGGTGGCTGGGAGGGGTCCTTGGCTGACAGTGTCTCCTCTGTGTATTTCTGTGGGGGTCACGAGGGTGGGGCTTAGGCAGGAATCACCCTGAGCTGGAGGACAGGCTCCAGGGACCTCACAGACACCCCTGCACTGAGGTGATAGCTGCCATCACATCTGACAGGCAGTAGCACAGGGCTTAGGCAACTTAAGTGTGCAGCTGAAGAGCACAGAGCACTGGCTGCATTTCTCATTAAGTTAGAGCCCAAGGAGGGGTGGGCAGGGGGCAGGTGATGGAGAAGGTGAGGGAAGACGGACTTCAGACTTGGCTCCACACCTCAGATGGCCTTCAGGCAAAGGGACCTTCTGAGAGGGGCTGAGGGCAGCACCAAGGCCTGGGAGCAGGCGGGGTAGGGCAAACAGCCAGTAAGCCAGGTCCCGGGCACCTTGTAGAACTCCTGGACTGGTGAGCTGACAACCACAGACTCGGCTTGCACACGGCCCACCAGGAACTCAAGGTATTTCTCAAAGGCCTCTTGGTTCTTGATGAAGCACATGGCCACATCATCATCTGTGTCACAATGCGTCAGTTCCTGTAAAAAGCTGTTGTGATGGGGATGGGGTCAGGGCATCCACCCAGACTGGCTCTAGGTCCTCTCCTTTGGGAGAAGCTAGGCCCTGGGAGCGTGAAGTACAGTGTGTGCTGAATGTGTGTATGGATATGTGTGTACACTTCTACATGAGTTTAGACGTGTGGTAAGTACACTTCTACACATGTGTACATGCATGTGTGGGTGCACATACAGGCAGATGGATGCTGTGTGGATGTGTACATAAGGATGTACAGATATGAACAAACATACAAGCACAGCATGTATTATTATGTGCATTATGTGCATGTGTGTCATCTACACACCTTTGGGTGTGCATGGGGCAGGTATCTATGTGGGTGTTTGTGTGAGTGTTTGCATGCCTTGTGCATGCAAATTGCATGCGTGAGTGTGCAATAGCATAGAGGTGCATGGAGGCCTGCACACATGTCCAGATAAATATGCTTGTGTGTACAATGTATACACTGTATACATATCCACAGGTAAGCCTTGTGCATGCTGTTGAGTATATTGGTGTGTAATGTGGTGGCAGCACATGTACACATATACCCACATGCATGTAGGCCCACATGCAGTAGACATACGTGTGGGTTGTGCACATGCTAATCAGCAGAGGGGTACTCCAGGCCTTCCCGTGCCGGAGGCAGGTACAATCTGTGTTTCCTGGTAGGGGGTCTGCCTTGTGCAGAGACATGATTGGTGGACAGATAAAGTTGCCTCTTAACTCCTGCACACCTATCCATTAGGCCTGACCTGCAGCCTGCGTATGTATGTTCATGTTCATGTTATTTTTTTTAATCTGGGCACCTCTTTATTTTTTGTCATCTTTAAGGAGTTTCCATGTAACAATCTGTGAATTCAATGCATCTTGCTCGATGTCACCCCTTTCAACATCCACACGTCTGTCCCCTACCACCTCCTTCCCTTGTGCTTTTAACTGTGTAGGCTATATGGTGAGTTCTTGACCGCATTTCCCCCTCTCCTCATGCAGCCCACACACCTACCTGCTGTGGAAGTGGCTGATGTCCTGCACATTTCTGAAGATGACGGTCTTCTGGCTGGCCACAGCAGCAGGCACGTGTGGACTGCGGTCCAGATGCTGCATGTGGTGGCTCTGCAGAAACTGTAGCTCACCAACAAAGGCCTGCTCTGAACTCAGCAGCTCCTGGATGACAGAGCTGGCAGGAGAGGCAACCATGAGTGGGACCTGGGAGCTCAAACAGCAGGCCCTCAGCAATGCTCCAGCAGAGCTGGCTCCCTGGTGGCCCACATCTCTCAGCTGCCAAATCAGAGCACCTCTTGCTATCTGCAGCCTATTACCAACTTCCAGAAAGGGGGTAAGAAGTCAAGAGAGAGAGATTGCTTTGTCCTCCATAAAACTGCTCTCTTTACCAGGAAGTGACCTGGTATGTTCCCAACAAGGAACTGGGGTGAGCTCAACTCCATCCCTGACAGAGGCTCATGTAGAATGAGTCACAGGCCCCACAAAAGCAGCAGGCTAGCATTCCAACCGGACTGGGGTAAGCAGTGGGTTTCTGTGAGTGATGGGCCAGGGCCAGCCAGGGGAAGTCCCACCAGACACTCACCTTAGCCTGGTCTTGTATTCACCTTCAGACACGGCCTCTCCAGGGAACTCAGGGGCTTCAGCGGGCCCCCATTCAGGCGACAGCTGGTCAGAAATAGGAGCTCGTCACAGATAGCCTGAGTGCTGCCCCTGCCCCTGCCCCTGCCAAGACCAGACTCCCATCTCTCAAACAGGGACAGCGATTTCAGAGTCCTCTAGGTCAGTGAACAAGGGGCACAGTACCCAAGGTTCACTTCTCTGCAACCCCAGCCACCAGGATACCTTGAGCCTCTTGTCCAGGTAGGCGGGTGACACCCAGCCCTGCCTCGAGGGGCTGGATTTGGTGGGCTTGGTGCGCACGAGCCAACGCAGGGGATGGGCTGAGTCGAGGACCTCCACATACTGGCCTTCCCGAAGTGTAATGGCCCCCTGCTCGGCCCCCAGGGGCAGGTAGTCAGCCGTCACCACGTAGATGTCAAAGATCTGACAGAGTAAGAATGGACAGTTGCCAGTCTCTAGCAGTCTCCAATGATTCTAGGGGTCTCCCAAATTCCCCAACAGTCTCCCCAAGAGCCCACAGAGGAGGGGAAGCCAAGTCAGGAGACCCAGGGAGGTGCTAGCCAGACCTGCCAACCCCAGCCTGCAGGAGGGAAGTGCAGGTCAGTCTGCACATGGTCTACCCCATGCATTGTGGAAGAGATGTGGAAGACCTGCCCTCTATCAATCACCCCAAGAGATGACTGCTCCCTCCTAGGTCTCCCAATTGGGGCTAGCTATACTTACCTTCTGTTGGTAGCTCATTACCTGCCTACCTGCCACTTTGAGCTCTAACAAGGAGCCTGGCACACAGGAGGCACAAGTGGAGGGAGAAGCGGAGGGAGGAATGATTCTGCCACAAAGCATGCTTCTGCAGGAACCCATGTGCAGATGACGGGTTCTCTGGCTCCCGGCTCCCATGTGCCATGGGAGGGGGTCTCCGTGCTCCCAGCCGAATGTGAATTCTTCTTCCCACCTCCCAAGGGCCCCATGGGGGACACCTGCTCACAGAGGTCCTGCCGGAGCGCCCCATAGAAGACCCTGCCCCGCCTCTCTCATCCCACACCATCTCTTCCAGGGGCTCAGGGCCCACTCCCACCCTGACCCCCGAAGGTGCCCCTCACTCACCTCGCCACGGGAGTCTCCGTCCTCTGACTCGGAAGAAGACTCCTGGACGCTGGAGGAGGGCCTAGACCGGCCGTGCCGTGGGGAGGCGGACGGGGTCTTGGACTCCTCGTCACTGTCACCCCCAGGCACCTGGAGCTTGGCTGTGAGAACGGGGTTGTGACATCCAGGGTGCTGCCTGGTTGCACGCCAGTTCCCAGGGTGAAGGAGCCGGGGGACCCAGGCCCAACCCCCAGCATGAATGAGGGTGCTCCATCACCCAGCCACCTGCTTCTCTCTCCCCTCTCCCTCCCTCCCTCCCCCACCTCTCATACACACACACACACACCTCTCACACACACAGACATACACACACACACACAGACAGGCACATGCACACACGCGCACACACACACCTCTCTCTCTCACAAACACACACAGACACACACACAGACACAGACACACACAGACAGACACACACAGACACAGACACACACAGACACAGACACACACAGACAGACAGGCACACACACACGCACACACACACACACACACCTCTCTCTCACAAACACACACAGACACACAGACACACACACACACACAGACAAAGACACACACAGACAGACAGGCACACACACACACGCACACACACACACACACGCACACACACACTGGCCCTCACCCTGTGTGATTTTGGCGGACACCATCTCTGTAATCTGGGAAGTCAATTTCTGTAGGAACTCCTCTGTGCCCACCTCAGCAAGAGACAGGTGACCCCGGGCCTCTTCTGCTGCCAGATCTCCTGAGGGAGCAAAAGCAACACACAGGCATCTGTGCATTCTTAGGGTGTTTGCTGGATGTCCCCCATGCTGCAGGCACATCCCTGGTTCTGGGGGCCTCAAAGGCAGCATGGAGACCTGGCTTCCCCCATGGGATGCCACCTGACACGGAGACCAGAAGATTGAGTTTGCTGGCTGGGTAGGGGGCCAGCAAGGTCTAGCCAGATGAAAAAATCACATTGTTTCGTGGGGGGGGGGGGTCTGAGCCCATGAGCCAATGGGACTGAGAACAAGAGGAAGCAGGTCTGGATAGAGAGGGAAGTAGATGACCAGAGCACAGGAGACACAGATGAGGGACCGTGGAGCACCCAGTAGGAGACTAGGCAATAATCGCAGGAATAGCCAAGGGGCTACATTCTCGGGACAGGAGGTAGCCAGAAGACAGCGGACAAGGCCAAGGCCGGCAGGAGGCTGGCATGGCTACAGGAAGAGGGTAGATTTCTGGGGACAGACTGAGCAGGAGTCAGACTCAGTTCGCCCACTGTGGGAGAAGCCTGAAGCACGGGGCCCAAGGTAAGTCTGTGCCTCCTCATCGCAAGATGCCTAATGACCCAGCCCCCACAGCCCACCGGACAGACACTGTGCCAAGGCCTGGGCTGCCCCTCAGGGCCCCACAGGCCCTCAGACCCCAGAGGTCAACAGAACCTCCAATTCCCTCTAAAGCTCGGAGTTTGTCTACCCAGCTCTGCTCTGAGCAGCCTTCTCCAAACCCCACTCAGACTCGCGGGAGTGCTCAGAGCACCTGTATTCTCCGTACCTTTTTTCTGCCCAGCCAGCTCAGTGAAACCTGCAGACTCTGACATGTGGGCCGAGATAGCATGGGTTGTCCTGAGGGGAAAGAGGGGTTCTGAGAGGCTTGAGTGGGAGCGCCTGAGAGTGAAAGAGTCTGAGGGTCATGTGCCAGGGGTCTCACACCACAGGCTCCATACTGGAAGGATTCTGGGAAAGCCTTCATTTTACAACAGGGAAATGGAGTCATGGAGAGGAAGGCAGTATGCACAAACTCCATGGTATCTGAGGGGAGGATCTGGCTGTACTGTAGGACAGGGTGCTCCCTCGGGAGTATGGCTGCCCTGTGCCCCGCTCCTGGGCCTCCTCCATGGGTGTCCCTGCCAGGGGGCCTGGTGGGGGCAGCCTCCACTCACCCCTGCAGGAAAGTGGAAATGAGAGCTTCCTTCACTTTCTCTTGCTCCTCTTCCTTGGGCACTATCAGGAGAGTGGGTGAACCATCAGGATGAGGTCCTGGACCTCATGCACTAGATTCTAGGTCCAGACCCTACCTGGGTTGTGTGGGCTGCTGTGGGGTCCTGAACATACCCATTCCCTCTGACCCTCCAAAGACACTGTGCCTGAGCCACCACCCTGCCCCACTCTCGGCTCACGGAGCAGCACTAGATAGGATGAGGAATGGGAGTGTAGTCTTGAAGGGCAGCCTTCAGAGGGACTGAGCGAGGCTCGTGAGCAGAGGGCCCTCCGTCAGCTGCACAGGGCAGGGTGAACACAAGGTCCTGCAGGACTAACGGCTCTGGCTTGCTCTGTGGGTTTTGCCAGCACTGGGAGAGGATGAGAGGAGATGGGAGAGGGGTCTGCAGGAGGTCCCACCCCAGGAGCTGGTAAAGGAGGCTTCAAAGCTGTTCCATGTCTAATTCCATGCCCCAAGACCAATGCAATCACCCACCCCCAGCCACCTTACTCACAGCCCGAGACATGCAGACTGGCAGAGCAGAGTGCCTGGCCAGCGGCGTTGGTGGCAATGCACGTGTAGGTGCCCTGGTGCTGCCGGCCCACATCCAACAGCACCAGGCTGTGCTGCTGGGAAGAACTGGCCATGGTGTAGCCTGGTGTGCTGGGGCTAATCCACAGCACACCTCTCTCCGCCTCCTCCTTGAGCCAGTGAACAGCTGGAGCTGGGTGGCCTGTGGATGAGAGGATCCAGTGGGCATGTCCTCACCAAGGATGGACAGGGGCTCCAGGGGTGAGGTGCTGCCTACCACTCTCTGTGAGGTGATGGCCTTACCTTCTACCTTCACTGAAAATGTGATACTGGAACCCCTCTTCACTTTCTTGGGGGTGAACCGTTCCAGGATCCGGGGTGGCACCAGTTGTTCATGTGCATCTGGAAGGCATAGCCTGTGGGTACCCGCTGGAACTACCCACAGCCCTCTACGGCTCCTGGGAGACCCTCAGGAGGACTTCTGCATCCTGCAGGCTCAGGACGCCTCATGTCGCCCCTCTGACCGGCAGCCTCCTGCCCATACCACCACTGCCAGCCCCAGGGACATCCACCCTGCCCTCGGCACCTATGGTTTGCTGCCCTCTCTTGCCATCTGGGTCTGTATTACCTGATGCTGATTTCTCGTCTGGCTCATCGGGGCCTGAAAGAAACAGGAGGAGTGAAGCACCCGGTAGAAGAGGTACACGCACAGGTGTCCCTCTCCTAGGCTCTGTACATAATGCCATGTCCATCCTAATGGCCCTGCCCATTGAGCGTGGGGCTGAGGCCGCTCCATCCACGGGCAAGGCCTCTAGATCCTTGATTGAGTGCTCATGCAAGCAGCAGTGGTATCACACACTCAGGAACGCAATAGGCATGTGGCCACATGGGCCAGACACAATGCGACAACTCGCCACCCCCCTCATCCCCACTGGGACTCTGGAGCCTTGCTCTGATGACAGGGCAGGTTTGGGTCAAGCTTGGCATTGGCTTTCAGTGCTCAAGATCTTTTGGAAAATAAAAGAAAATGTGGATTTGTCTCCCCAAGTCAGCTTCTGCGCAGTGTGCTTCTATAGAGATGCGCACACTTGATCCCTTGGGTCTAGGAACCCTGAGCTCCTAACCTTGAAGGGCAAGCTTCTGGACACTTGTGAGAGTCCACTGGGGTAATGACCAAGGGGTCCTGACTCCAGGTCTGATGGGGCAGGGCTGGACAGTCAGCCCCAGTGGACACTCACCTTGGACCAGCAGCTGGGCAGATGAGTAGGCTGCACCCACAGCATTGCTGATGTAAGCCGAGTATTGGCCGGCGTCCTCCCGAGTAACTGAGACGATCTCCAGTGTATGCAAGGACTTCTTGTCAGTCATGCGGATGTGGGCGGATGTTGTGAGGGGCTGGCCGTCTTTGAACCAGTACAGTCTTGGGGCTGGGTAGCCTGCAGCCAACAGAGGGGAATGGTCAGACCAGAGCTCTCACTCAGTGGGAGACAAAAGTCCAAAGAAGACCACAGGGTGCTCACCCGGGCAGTAGGCACATGTGACCCCCAACTTGCTGCTGGTTAGGGTACCCTCCTAACTGTGGCTTATGGAGGCTCTTGGTCTCTGTCCCATCATGGCGGCTGCCCCACAACCAACCCCTTACCTTTCACTTTGAGTTGGAACTTGGCCAGGCGTGTGCCAGGAGCCACCTGGACGTCTCTCAGCTCCTCTGTCACCTGGGGGAGCTGCCCCTCATCCGACTCAGTTCCCTCTTGTTCCCGGCTGACAAGAAAGACAAATCATGGGGCAGCTATTAGGGGACCAGTAACAGGGCAAGGGTAGGAGGGCTCTTCTGGAGTACATGTCAGACATGGATTGATTTTGAAGTTCCCTGTCTGCTAAACTGAAAGGTACAGGGACAAAGTTCCAGGGCCTGGTAGACGCTTGGAGAACTGGCTCATCAGTCCAAAGCCCATCCCATCAGCCCAGCATGGCCACTTCCCCAGAGTGTCGGGATTACCAGTCACTGAGCTCTGCTGTTGCTAAGGGGGTCCTACCTGGACAGGTATCCCTGGGCGCTGAAGTACGATGAGGTCTCTGTAGCATCTGCTGCAGTGTCATAGTCTGTGCTTGTCACTGGGGAAGGAAGGACACGCTGGAGCAAGGCCTGCCGCTCCTCTGCCTAGGCGCTGACCTTGAACCAGGACCACCTCAGCCCTTGACCACGAGGTTCTAACTGTCCAGCCTTATTGGGCATCACTTACACTCGAAAGTCAGGAGGGCAACAGCTGTACTGTACCCTACTGGACTTGGGGCTGTTTACTGGCCCCATATTTCTAGGCCTGTAATAAACCAAAAGCCTCTCTGACTTAAAGCATGGTAAATAGCACATGATTTGGAATCTTCGTAAATGGCAATGACAGTGGAAAAACATTATGGTTTATCCTACAGAACCATGAGGAATAAAATAGATATTGGCCTCTAGACCAACAGCTATGCCTGGCACCAATGGCTCACACCTACCTGTAATACTAACTACTCAAGACGCTAAGGTCTGAGGATCTAGGTTTGAAACCAACTTGGGCAGGAAAGTCCGTCAAACTCTTAACTCTAACTACCAACTTCAAAAAAGAAGTGGAGCTATGGCTCAAGTAGTAACCTTAATATATGTCTAGGATAGTCCTAGCAGATGACCAGAATAGCTCAATTGATATGTACATATGACCATATAAGATGAGGCTAACTGAAATAAAGTCTAAGATATGGACACAAGAGGTTTTTCATTGTTGTTCTTGTTTTAATGTACTACATGATTTCTTTTTTCTTTTGTCTTTTTCCCCCTATGGTTTATATTGTCCTTTGTATTTGATTTTGGTGCCCTGGGTATTGTATATGAATTAGGGAAGGGTGAGACAAAGGACAAAGGGCAAACCAATGCAACAGTGATACAAGACAATACGTTGGAAACGAACTGTACAACTTGGGAGGAGGATGTGGGGAGGGAAATGGGAGAAAATGAGGGAGGGGATAACAAGTTCAACAAGAAATGACTTACTGCCTTATGTATGTAACTGTAACCCCTCTGTACATCACCTTGACAATAAAAGTAAACTAAAAAAAAATCAACTAAGGGACAGTACTCAGACCCTAAGTTGAAGTCCCAATACGGGTATGTGATAGAGACTTGGACTTCTAGCCACAATAGAGCAAGAGAGATTGAATTTATCCGCTGTCAAATGACTGAATGTGCTCCCCACAAAAACTCATATATCAAAATATCAACCCAAAAGAGATTGGGCTTTGGGAGATGATCACATCGAATGGCGGAGTCTCATGAATGGATCAGTGTCCTTATAAAAGGGAACCTGTCTACTACCGTCTTTCTTCCCTGTTCTTACATGACACTATATTCTTTCCTGTAGACTACCTAACCTACTATCAGTCTCATTCACTGTTTCTCACCTCTTGTACTACTTAAATAAATACAAAAAAGCTAAAATGTTTAAATCCACAGAATAGAGCTTTACTGTCTTTGCTAGTTCTAACATATGAGTAGGTGTAGATTGACTGAGTAGATTAATCTACACATTACAGGTTATTTTTTCCTGTCTCTTTACGAGCCTGTGTATTTTTGGTTAACTATCTTGACATTGTGGATTTTACCTTATGGAAACCTAGATATGTGATCTTTCTTTCTCTCTTTCTTTCTCTCTCTCTCTCTTTTTTTTTTTTTTGGTCCAGTCGTGGGGCCTGAATTCTGGACCTGGGTGCTGTCCCTCAGCTCTTCAGTTCAAGGCTAGCGCTCTGCCACTTGAGCCACAGCTTATGTGGTGCTGAGGAATCAAACCCAGGGCCTCAGGCATGCAAGGCAAGCGCTCTACCACTGAGCCACCTTCCTAGCCCCTTTCTCTCTTTCTTTCTTTCTTTCTCTCTCTCTTTCTTTCTTTTTTTTGGTAGGTCGTGGGGCTTGAACTCTGGGCCTGCGCGCTTTTCAGCTCAAGTTTAGTGCTCTACCCCTTGAGCCACAGGGCCACTTCCGGTTTTTCCCTGAGTGGTTTACTGGAAATAAGAGTCTCATGGGGTTTTCTTGTCATGCTGGCTTTGAAGCACAATCCTAAGATCTCAGCTTCCTTAGTAGCTAGGATTACAGGCGTGAGCTACTGGTGCCCAGCTGATTTGTGATATTTCTAAAATACAAAATATTTATAAGACATACAATAATAAGACTGTCAGGACCAGATCCCGTATGCACAGTGGCTCTCTGAGCGCAGAATTCTAGCCACCGGAACAGTGAGAAAGTTAGTTCTTTACAAGGCATCCAATCCATGTTATGTTGTTGTAACAGCCTTAACCAAGAACACTCCCACCTGAAGCAACAACAAGAACAAAAACACTACCACAAGAACCTAGATAAATATAAAAGTGTTTTTGTAAGTCTTGTCATTAGGCAAGTGGGGGACAATAATGGTTTAATTATAGGGACTATAAGCAAAACCTATCATTTATCTAGCTTTAATGACAAGCAAAATCTTTCGTTTCTCCAGCTTTCTGTACTGTTTCCAGGTCTAGGAGGGAAAATGGAGGCAAAATCAGGGGAATTCCATGAGTTCTGAGTCCTGGGCAACCTTGGCAGCAGAGTTCACAGGACCGTGCCAGAAAAGAGAAAACTGTGCAGGCAGGACTCGCCATCATTTAGCAGGTAGTGATTAGCAGATTCATGAGAGAAGACACATCTGAATGGTCAGAAGGAAACAGTGCCAGGAACAATGCCTGTTTTCTCCAGTCACCGTAGAAAAACTCACAGCACACATGGTTCTAGTTTCTCAGAACTCTGTGCCTCAGAAGTGGGGAATAATTAGCCCTAGACTGAGCCCTACTCTAGACTCACCTAACAAATCATAAAGGCTCAAATTGTTTCCTAGGAACTAACTGCATCCCAAAACACAGCTGAAGATCTGTAGAACACAAACTAAGATCATCAGCCATGCAAAGAGGCAAGAAAACAAGATGCACATGGTAGAGAAGAATCAATCAATCAAAACCAACCCACAACTGACCATGACAGTAGAACTTGCAGAGGAGGACATAAAAACAGTTATTAGAACTGTACTCTTTTTTTTTTTTTGGCGGTTGTGGGGCTTGAACTCTGGGCCTGGGCGCTGTCCCTCAGCTCTTCAGCTCAAGGCGAGCACTCTACCACTTGAGCTACAGCGCCACTTCTGGTTTTCTCATGGTTTATTGGAGATAGGAGTCTCACGGTCTCTCCTGCCTGGGCTGGCTTTGAACTGCGATCTTCAGATCTCAGCCTCCTGAGTAGCTAGGATTACAGGCGTGAGCCACCGGCGCCCGGCATTAGAACTGTATTCTATATGTTCAAAAAGTAGATGATCTATATTACCAAGACTCAAGAACTTCTAGAGATTAAAAAATAATATAGTCAGCGCCGGTGGCTCACGCCTATAATCCTAGCTACTCAGGAGGCTAAGATCTGTGGATCGAGGTTCAAAGCCATCCCGGGCAGGAAAGTCCGTGAGACTCTTATCTCCAATAAACCACTCAAAAAAAAAAACCCAGAAGTGGTGCTGTGGCTCAAGTGGTAGAGTGTTTGAACTGAAGAGCTGAGGGACAGTGCCCAAGCCCAGAGTTCAAGCCCCATGACTGACCAAAAATAAATAAATAAATAAATAAGAAAGAAAGATAGGTGGGATTAATAACAAAGTTAGATATTACAAAGTAGTGTACCTAAGAACATAGTAAATAAGGATAAAATAAAAGGAAAAAGAAATTTTAAAAAGAGTACTGGGTATACAGCTCAGTGGTAAAATGCCTGCTTGGTATGCATAGATCCTAAGGTTTGAAAGCTCCGACTCCTCATCAAGGTTTGATCTGATTGGCTAGCAGTCACCACCCTGAAGCTACTTTGGAAACCTTCAAGAGTCACCTCATGAGAACTGAAGCTGTGCCCTGTACCTGGGCATCCCAAGGACTTAGAATCTCTGTACGAGCAATCAGGAGTAAAGATCACATAGATTTTTTAAAGACCATAGCATCAATCAATCATTATCTCTACACTTCTATTGAGAGGTTTTCCAGTGAAGCCCCTGGAGGTCTCCCAAGAAAAGTTTCAATGGAGTGGCTGGGGAAGGCTAGGTCATCTCCCCTTCAAAACCTTTTGGGCCTCTTTCCAGCTGATACACCTCTGACAGACAGACATGAGGTCCTTGTACCACTTCACCCTAACCGTTCTTGAGACTCTCGTCCTGGCCCTTGCTCCCAGAAAAGTCTCCTCTTCACCGGCCACAAGACATCAAGGCTCCCTATCTCCCTTGCCACCAACCTCTAGCCCAGCTCAGGAGAGCAGTACTCACAGTCCACACGGAGCTCAGCCTTGGTAGAAGAGACCCCCACACTGTTCTCAGCCAGGCAGCGGTAGACACCCATGTCTGCAGGCACCACAGCTGTGATGATGAGCTGATGACCACCCTGCTGGTCCTCATTGATCATATAGTGGTCATCCTCCTCCAGCAATTTCCCATCCTTGAACCAGCGCACACTAGGCACCGGCTGGCCTGTGACCATACAGTCGAAGCTCACAGGGTAGCCATCCTGTACTTCTTGGTTCTGCAGCTGGGTCAGGAACACTGGGGCTGGGACAGACAAGCAGGGCATGCCACATTAGCCTTGATCATGCCAATCACACCTACAACCACAAGCTTCCACCAGACCGGAAGTCTGGTGCAAGTGTTCATTTGAGTGTTGAGACCCTGTCTAATAACCCCACCCTGAATCTTGCCAGCTCAGTCTACCCTATTCCCATTTTCTAAGCTTGCTTCCAAAGCCACTAAGCAAGAAGGATGGAGAAACATAAAGAATAGGGGGGAAAAAAAGGTAAGGCTGTGTGATCTAGGAGTCCTGGAAGAACAGACAAATGACCTTTTAGGGACACAAGTGCCCCAAAGTGGACAGAAGTTTCAAGACATGATTTGAGACATTTACGATAACCTCCTAATGTTCTGGAGAGACAGAAGCAAGCAGTGAAATGGACTTTTAATTATTTACTTGATGAAATAGAATATACTGTGCAGTGGACCCCAGAACCCCTCTATTTTATGAGTTCCATCTCTGAGTCTCTCCTTAAAGAAAAAAACAACAGAAAGTAGATATTCTCATCCCCATTTGCAGATGTGAAAATTGAAGGTCAAAGAGGCCAAATAGCATCTCTGAGGCACATGGCTAGTAAGAGGCAGAGCTGGGGTTTATACTCAGCTCTGTTTAACCTCAGAGCCAGGGTGTACCATGACTCAGTAGGCCACATCTGCAAACAGCTGATGCTGGAGTGCAGGTGACCCAGCTGATGCTGCCACGCCTCCTCCAGTCCACCCTGGATCCTCGTGCAGCCCGACCAAGGCAGTGTGTGAACTCACCAGCATCAGAAGCCAGCAGGCTGGGCACAGGCCCCGGAGGCACTGCGGGGGTAGGCAGAGGAGCCACCTTGCTGATTCGCATCTCCACTCCCTTGGGCCCTTGCTCCACAAGCCCAATTTCTACTCCGATGCCCATGGTAGCAAACATCTCCTGGAAGCGGGTGACTGCCTGGCGGGCCTCAGAGAGTGCCTCGAAACGGATGCAGACAAAATGTTCATCTTCACGATATGTCTGCCAGTCTGCAGGCTCCTCCGGCTCTGCAGTGCCCTCGTCGGCGCTGAGGAAGAGCTCCTCATCTGACACCTCAGAGGGGCCCTTGGTGCGGAAGAGCCGGTGGAGGCGCCTGGCGGCTCGTCGGAAGGCATCGTCCAGCTCTCCCCCAGAGGAGCTCTCGGCTTCACTCTCCGTCCCGCTGACCACCACACAGGCACTGTGGCTCACATGGCCAAACTTGTTGCTCACCCGACAGGTGTAGCGGCCAGTGTCAGCAGGGCCCAGACCAGTGACCAGCAGAGAGCAGGTGCCATCCCCAAGCTGATCGATATGGTGGTGTCGCCCATCAGTCAGCTCCACGCCATCCTTCAGCCAGCAGGCCCGCACATCCGCTTTACTGGCCACCACACATTCCAGCCTCAGGACATCCCCCACCTGTGCCTCAGTGTCCCCAAACGTGCGGGAGAACACCGGCCCTTCCTGCTGCTTCATCTCCTTCCGCACTTTGTAGCCCTTAAAGGCAGCTTGGATCTTCACGGCAGCCTTGTCCATGGAGGGATCGCTCAGGTCCTCAGCCCTCGCCTCTCCCTGGGGTGGGCACACTGTGGCTGGTTGCTCCTGATGTTTCTGTGTCTTCGTAGAGGGGACTGCTGGAGCCCCAATCTGCAGGCACAGGATGTGATGTCATGGTGGAGCATGAAAGCTGAAGTCAGGAGCACACAGGATCAAGGCCCCAGGGCCATGTTTTGCTCTAGCATTCTATTCTTCCTCCCACCTACTGGCAACCACACTCGCTTGAGCTAGGTGCCTACTGGCTTCTACTGCTACCCCAAAGCAAGACCACCTCCTCCCTGAAATAGCTTTATACATTCACACACATGAGGATTAGCTGCCTTATAAGGAATAGCAGGAAGACCAAGAAAAATTTCACAGCTATGTGAGTGGAGATGGATGGGGAATGAATGGGTAGATGGAAGGCAGGCTGGATGGATGAAGGGAAGGTGGATGGATGGCTAATGGTGGATATATAGATAGGTGGGTGGCATAGGTGTAGATAGGTGGACGGATGAGTAAATAGGTAAACAGTCTGACCAGAAAACAGATGAATAGGTGGGCAAGTACAGGAGTGATGGATTGAGGAATGGTGGATAAATTATGGGCAAGGTAGTGGATAGGTGGGTGATGGATGACGAATGGATGGATGATAGTAGGGACAGATGTGTGGGGCACAAAGGGCTGGCTGTATGACTTGGCAAATAGAAGATAAGTAAACAAACTGGCACATAAGCATAAGAGTAGTAGACTGATGGATCAGTGAATGGGTATAGGTGGGTGAATAGGTCAATGGATAAGTGGTCAAATAGGTGAACAGGTGCAGAAGAGATGGTGGATGAATCGAAAGATGGTAGATAATGGAAAAATGAATAGATATTAGATGTGCAGATGGATAAACAGGTGCAGGTACAGACAGAAATATGGTAAGTAGATATAATGGACCAGTGAATGCAAGAAAGAATGGATATATGGATGCCTGGGAACATGGTAGATGGACCCGTGGATAGCAGGAAGGAAAGATGATGCACAGATGGGCAGGTGAATGGTAGATGTATAGACATAGTAATCGATAGATTAAAGACGGGTGCATGAATGAAGAAAGTCTAAGATGCCCAGGCTTCTCTCTGCTCGCTGAAAGGGGGTTGGCAGGCAGGGCACTCACCTTGCTGGCTAAGGGTGGTGCCCCAGGCTTTCCAGCTTTCTTGAGGTAGGTAATGAGGGAAGGGGTGCCCGCTCGGGACTCATCATCAGAGCTGGTATGTGACAGGTCAGCCTCTCCAGTGCGTGCCAGCTCATCGGCTGTGGAATACCCCTCGGAGAGTTCAGGAGCCAGTTCCTCTGCCTCCTGCCGCAGGTGCTGCACACGACCGTCTTCCTCAGGCAGCTCACTGATGGAGTCCAGGGTGGGCTCACGGCTCATGCGGCGCTTCCGGGCGAGGGCTTCCCAGAGCAGGTGCAGGTCACCCTCCTGGGCTGCCTCAGGGGGCAGGCTAGGCTGCACGGGGGCCTCGTCCCCAGAGCCTGTGGTCAGCACCACTGAAGAAAGCAGAAGATGGGTCAGCAGGATAGGGCTGCGACGTGAGATCACACTCACCCTCACTGATGACCGGTGTGTCACCTTGCTGGACTTCGACTCCCTGCCGGGTACCACATCATTCTACCAGGTTTTAGAAGCTCTGAGCCTAAGTCCACATCAGCTTCCCCTCAGACCACCTGCACAGGGCACATGGTGGCCAGAGAAGACATGACTGCAAAGTCAAACTGGGATTATTTCATTCCTTCCTGGCCCTTGCTGCTGATATAGTAGCCCATATTAATTCAAGGAGCAACACAAGGAGATTCATGCATGTGAATGCACTAGGGCCAGGTGCAGACAACAGGGGAAAGACAGACTGGTGCAGGGTGGTGCTTAAAGGTAGGCTGCCATTCAGAAAGGGGGAAGGAGCTCAGAACACAGAAAGGACTCAGGAAAGGAAGATACTCAGGGTACAGAATGAGGCTACAGTAGAGGAGGGATTCATAGCATTCGGGGCAGGGGACTGAGCTGGAAGAAGGACTCAGCATGAGGGAGCTGAGAGGACATGGGGGGTGAGGGGTAAGAGCATGGGGTGCCTAAGGTATTCAGTGTGAATGGAGCCGGGAAGAGAGCTCAGAGCATGCAGGCAAAGTACCAGGGTGCTGAGGGTGCAGGGGGCACCATTACAGAGCAAGCAGGGCATAAGCATGCGGGAGCACCTCAGAGCAGAGTCACTAAGAGAACAGGAATGCTCAGAGGGAAGGAGGTTCAAAGCTCAGGAAAAGTCTTGGGAAGAGAGCTGCAGGTGCTCGAGGTTCCAGACTCAAGAGGACCAGCACTAGAAAGCTGAGGGCTGCACCCTGTTCAGGGATGGGTGGGCTGGCCGAGGGCACGGCCTCAGGCAATAATGTGAGAGCTGTTTCATCTCCTGACCCAGCCTTAGTCTTCCATCATGTCCTACTCCGGGTGTCAGAGTACCCTCGGCCCTTCCTCCAGAGAACTGATGAGGAGGAAGGCCAGGCCAGCCATGTTCCCATACCCCAGGGCTTTCCACCCCAGCCCAGAACATACCCTGGAATGTGGCAGCCTTGGTGGGAATGGAGCCCTGGGCAGGACCACAGTGGTACTGGCCCTGGTCTTCTGATTTGAATCCCTTGATCACTAACATCTGCTGCCGGCCCTGAGAGAGCACCTGGAAGTGCTCGCCCGGCTGGATGCGCTCTGTCCCCTTGTGCCAGACAACTTCCCCAGCTTCGGTCGCCACCTCCAACTCCAGACAGACGTCCTCACCAGCCACCGCCTGGCGTCGCTCTGGGACTGGGGGCGGGGGAGGCGCAGGTTCCGTGGGTTCTGCTGGGAAACAGCACCCATAGACAGCAGACAGGCCTCATCAGGCAGGGTGGGCTTTGCAGTCCAGACCCCAGCACACAGGCTCCCTCCCTCCAGCTTGGGTAGGTGGCCCCAGAGCAGTGACTCACCCAGCTTGATCATTTGGGGCAGGTGCACGGGTTCCCCGGCACCTGCTGGTCCCACGGCTGCCACTCGGAAGCGATAGGTCTCCCCAAGGGCCAGGCCATCTACCACACATTCTGGCCCAGGCACCAGCTCGTGGCATAAACGCCACTGGCCTGTGGAACCCTCCTTCATCTCTACCCGATAGCCACACAGACCGCCACCGCCGTCACTTGTGGGAGCCATCCAGGACAAGGTCACAGAGCGGCCACTTCGACCCACCACCTCGGCATCCTCTGGGGGGTCAGGGAGGCCTGAAAGGAAGGGAGGAGGTCAGCACACCCACTGTGGCCTGCAGCCCTTCCAACAGCCGCTAGGGTCAGGCCCTGGACGTGGAACAGGCCCTGGGGCAGGCCACTTTCCCCAAGTTTTGTGTGTCACTATACCCAGCGGCCCAGCCTGTCTCAGGGAGGAAGAGATGATACAGAGCCACCCCACCCGTGAACTAGCGGGTCTATGTGTCTCAGTAGACTGTATACCCACAGCCCACTCAAGATGGGGTCCTCTGAGAACTCTCAGCAGTCTAAGGACTGGAGAGCCTCATTCCTTCTGACTTCTGCTCTCACCGGGACTTGGGCCCCTAGCCTCAGTACCCTGATCTGACAGACAGCTTTACTCAGCAACCCCCTTAGACCAGCAGGAGGAGCTACTGAGAAGGAAGGGGCATGACACACACTACCACCTCCACTCTGGGCGTCCAACCACTCCACCCAGGATGCAGTTCTGGATGGTCACCCACCCCAGTGGTCTACAGACCTGTCCCGCCCATCCTGCGGGGAGGAGCCTGCAACTCACTCAGCACAGAAAGCCTTGCAGAAGCCACTGCGTCACGGGCAGCAAAGGTCACCTCCCCAGCGTGGTGGGGCTGAGCACTCCGTAGCAGCAGGGAGTGCTGGCTGCCGTCAGCAGTGACCTTCCAGGCCGCGTCGTCTGGCTGGACCACAGCACCATTGATATACCAGGCTGCCTCTCCCACAGGCACCGCCTCACTGAGCTTGCAGGTGAAGTTGGCCTGGGCGCCAGCTCGTACCGTCACATCTTTTGGTGGCTCCATGACCTCTAAACGCCATCCTGTGAGGGTGGACAGGTGAATAAACGCAAGGGGAAGGTTCTGGAGGCAAAGCATGAGACCCTTGGCCTCTACTGTGCCTCCCCTCCATGCTGCCTCCAGTTGGAGAGGTCTCAAAACACCACCTCTCAGCCAATTCTCCCCCCCCCCCCAGTGAAGCCTCACACTGAAGGGCTTAGAAGACACTCATCCCCTCCTTCAAAGCAGCCAGACTTCTAGTGGGAGGCTCCTCGGAAACCAAGGACCCCCTACTCCTCATCCCAGATGGAACTGCCAGCAGGAGGGGCTCTTGCAGATCCCCCACGGACTTGAAGGGGTGGAGCCACCTCTGTGAGCAGTATCAATGACTGACACCCCACTCCACAACTCTCCCAGGCTGGAAGATCTTTGGGAAGGGGTCTCACCCACTGGCACCCCAGCCCTGCACCAGCCCGCACGATCTTGTCTCTCTGCAGGGTGAATGGTTCTCAACCAGACGCCACTCCCATCCTAGATCTCTCTGTCTCACTGAGCTGGCTGCACAGCCTCCAGCTTGGGGTGGGGACAAGAGATCTCAGAGATCAACATCCTTTCACCCTGTAGAGCATCGGGTGGACCCAGCCTCTGGTGGGAGGGGCTCACCCTACCCCTCCACCCTGTACCAGAGAAGCACGGTTACCTCTGACAGTGAGGAACGCAGATGTCACCACGTCCCCAGCCAGGAAGGTCACCCGGCAACTATCCTGTGGCCGCAGGTTCTTGAGCAGCAGCAGGTGCCGCAGGCCGTTCTCAAAGTAGACCACTTCCACATTTTCTGAGGTGTGCACAGGCTCATCATCCAGCAGCCAGGTGTGCGCAGCCACCTCAGGCTGAGACAAACGGCACTCAAACAGCGCCTCACCGCCCTCAAGGGCATCCACATTCTCCAAGCCCCGAACCACTGTGTTCTTGGCTGTGGGGAGAAGCCAGGGAGGGGCTCAGGTGCATGTGAGCCTAGGAGCTCACCTGCAACTACAAAGAGTCAAACAAGATGCCACCCCAGTGATCACATGGAGACAGGGTAATCACTCTGGGCTCCCTGTTCCACAGATGAGAACCTCACAAGTGATCGCAAGACTTCAACACTCACAAGCTACCCAAACGTGGAGCCCCACATGGACACTGGATGTGGTGCCCTTACTTGCCAAAGTATCTGAAGCATCAGGGTTTGGACTCCACACCCCTTCCTCACATCCCAAACGGCACAACTAGACCTGTGATGGTTTCTGGAACTCTCCTCACACTCACATGATTAGGAACCTTCAGAATCCATGCCTCTTGGTTAATGGTCAGTTTCTCACAGAAGCCGTAAGCATGTAACTGGTTGTGCTCTAACCTAAGTGCATTGTGGGGTAGTTTTGCCACGCCCAGGATCATTCCCCTGTACAGAGCACCTCTATGACCAGGATGGATGCTACAGCATGCCCTTCTCTATGGCTCGGTGAACCAAGGCACACCATAGGTGTGCTGGGCCTGGGGCTGCCTGCCAGGTAGCCTCACCTTGCACTTGGAGCAGTGCCACCACACGGGTGCCCGCAGCCTCACAAGAATAGATGCCACTGTCACTGGGCAGGGCTGGCCTGAAGGTCAGCCTGGCCACGGTCCAGTCCTGCTCTATGATGACACGGTGCCCATCTGCATGAACCTCCCGCTCGTCCATCTTCCATGTGGCCTGCACAGGCCGTGAGTACTGGCAAAGGAGCTCGGCTGAGCCACCCTCCTCCACCGCAAGGTCTTGCATGGCACTGACCACCTCCACCGTGGGATCTGTCGGCCAACATGCCGGACACGCATCAGCCCCTGGGACACACCACCATACCCACCCACGCTCTGCTGGCCATGTTAGTGGCTTTAGCAGCTGCAAGCTTAGCTTTGGTAGGCAATGACTCAGCTACAGCGACTGGCACAGCCAGGAAGTGGGACCCGCCATGGCAGCTCAGAGCACGCCGCATCAGATACGCCCTGCGCCCATTCATGGTTGATGGTGCTGCTGAGCTGGGTATCTGTCCAGACTGGGCTCTTCTGGCCCAGGGGCTGCATCCACACCCCACCTCCAACATCTTTGCTGGGCCCCGGGTCCCTGGCTCAAAGTCCAGAGCCATAGTTTGGATTGCCTCCCATCGAAATACCCATTTCCCTTTGCTGAAAATCTACTTGATAAATCACTGTTACCTCAGTGACCCACTTTTTCTATGGGCACTCACAGGAGGCCAGTCAGCAAAGGCATCAAATGAAGGAGCTAGGGGGGTCCATGACATTTTGCTGCCCTTCCTGTCCAGAGAGCAAGTTGATATAAGTGTGGACAGGAACAGACCGGGCGAGGGCCTGGGATGGAGCCCAGGAGCCCAGGAAAGCTCCCTCAAGGAACTAGCCTCTGGCTGAGGTGGCGGCCAGGTGAGTAGCCTGCGCGGGCTGAACTCAGTGCATGGGTATGGGGCCGCCTTCAACTGCCTGGCTCCCTAGCCTGAATTTCCCATTCAGGAAGTATGCCCATCTGGGGCTGCCCTGGGAAGATAGAGGGCATGGAGAAATGTGCCCTAGAAGGCTATATCTGACCCTCCTCTGCTCTCCAGGAGCCTGCAGGAAGCGTGCGGGCACAGCAAAGTCAGAAGCACCAGCACAGGTGGTCCCCCGTGGCCAATACCTTTGACCAACAACTTGGCTGTGGAGACCAGAGGCCCCATGCGGAAGGTGATGGTGCCTGAGTCGGCCACCCCTAGGCCCGAGAGGGTGAGAGAGTGAAGGGTCCCCCTGTGCACGGCGATGGCACTCTGGGGAGTGTCCTGAAGCAGGGTGCCATCCAGCCACCAGCGGGCCTCTGGCCCAGCCACACGAGACACCTCACAGGAGAACGTGGCCACCTCCCCAGCGAAGACATCCACATTCTGCAAGCCACGTACCAGGCATAGTGCTGCCTCTGTGTAAGAGGGCGAGAAGGAGTGCCAGGCTGGGCGCCCTACGGTCTATCAGGTGGGAACTACTCCAGAGATCATTGGTGCGTGAGTGTGTTCTAATAACAAGTTTGGTTTTTGTTCCCACAGGACTCCTAATACCCTCAGAATTTCCTGAATGACTGAACTGTTGTTATTTGTAACAAGCTCCTTTGACCATACACAAAGTAATACTAATGAGGGACTCTGGTCACACTAGGTAGCTTCGGGTGGTCACCAAGTGGTAAGAAGTCTAAAACATCTATCACCATTCATCAACTTTTGGGACAGCTGGAAAGCCATAGATTAATCTCCATAAAATAAACTATCTTAAATAGATCTGATGAGATCAAGATTAGTGGGTCTTGAGGTGCTGGAGGGTGATGCACCCAGGGAGGGAGCCGGGGGGGTCGCCAAACTCACTCTCCCGGGTCTTGCCTTACGTCACGCTTCTCTACAGCTATTCCTGGATGGGCTCTTCTGTAATAAACTTGCAATACTAGTTCACTAATGTCAATAAGCTGTCCTGGAAAAACCATCAACCTTGAGAGCCAGAAGGGCAGCTGTCTGTCAATTTGACACTTGAAATTGGCACCTGAAGTTGGGGAGCAGTCTTAACTTACAGTCTGCCAACTCTAGATAGTTCCAACACTGAATTAAGTTATATCGCTCCATGTGTGAGGAAGAATACACACACACGTTAACACAAAATCAGCGTTCAAAGCAATTGTTTTGTCCCGTGAGAGGATAGGAGAAAAGCAACAAAGATGTTTTCTCTAGAATTGGTGTTCCAAGTGACATACGCTAGAACGGTCTTGAGATTCATGGGCCTAGAGGTCTTCTGTATCAGGCACCAGCCCAATCAGAAAGATGGTCTCTTCCTGGGGTCTAGAAATCCACCCTAGCCGGGCTACATGGCTCTGACCACAGTGGAGAATACAAAGATCACCCTCAGTGATCCTATGAAAAGTGGCTCAGGCCCAGGCATGAGCTCTGCTCACCGATACGCTTCCCACACACCCTTCAGAGCATACCTAGCATCACCCACCGGAGGTCAAAGACATCCACACACCTTCTCAGAAAGCAGAAGGGACATGCTCAGACCATGGTCGAGGCTCCTTCTGGCACTGGCTGTCTCTTCTGACCCAGTGTGAATAATAGAGAGGTACCCCAGAGCCTGCTGCTCCAAGAGGGTGTGAGTCAGCCTCACTCTACTTCTCTGGAGGTGTTGAGGCAGATGCTTCTTCCAGAAGGACACTCTGTCCCTTCAGCCTTAGGCCTCTGGGGCCCCAGGGATGGATGTCGCCTGGTGGGGTCCAAGCTCAGGAGCTTCAGGTGTGTATGTGTGGAGCTGCCTGCCTGTGCTCTCCATTCTGTCCTCTTCTATCTCACCTGCTTCTTGGATGGCCAATCGGGTAACCACAGCTAGTGGAGAAGCTGAGAGCCCTCCCAGACCACCAGTGACCACACAGTGGGCCCCTCCCTCCCATTCCCCAGAGAGAAGGACAAGACCCAAGGTCTCTTTCACCACCTGCTTCCTGGGGCCAGGCAAGGAAGGTATGCCCTCCCCCGACCCTGTGCTCTTCTCTCAGCACTTCTCATATGCCATCCGAGGACACTGGCAAAGTCCAGATGTGTCTATCCCATGGGCGAGAGCAGAGGCATGGGCAGGGACCTTTGGTGGGCAGCAAAGCCCTCAAGCCCACCCAAGTAAGCCTTTCCATGTTCTCCCCCACATTTATACCCCACGTAAGCCTTCAAAGTGCCCCTTGACTGGCTTCTCCAAACACATCTAACCACCTCCCCTTCTCGCTGTCAGTGTCAGTTCATTCTCTTCTCCAGCACCAGTTTCCAAGTGTGGCCATCATATCTGGACACCCATTCACACATCCTTGCCCAGGACCCCCCAAGGCCATAGGGAGGAGTTGGTACATGAACCAACTCTTTCAGGCTGGGGACACCTAGCCTAGAGCAACACTGAAGCACACCACACATCTCTGTTACATCCCCCAATGAACAAAGGTTCTGTCTCTTCCCATTCATTCACTCCTAAACTCTCCCTTGTCATTAATCAACTTTTAAGGGCATTAGTATTTGGCAGCCTTTCCCACAGGCCACAGGAGTGACCATGTCTAGTTGAGAACAGAGATGAACATGGCCTATCTTGAGATCCCTCCAAGGGCTGGAGGATTTGATAGTGAATGACTGAATAGCAGATGGGTATTTGAATTAATGGCCAAATGGTAAATAAATGAATGGGTAGGCGAATGGATGAATGGATACCTGATGCTGAATGGGTAAATGAACAGATCTAGACCATTTGATGGGTGGATGGATGGATGGATGCGGAATAGTGGTATATGGACAGATAGATGGACTAAATGGATGGATAATGGGTTGGTAATGGATAGCAGAGGAATGATGGTAGTGAATAAGTGGTAGATGAATGAATAATGGGTGGATTGACAAGACCAGTATGAGAATGAAAAGGAAGATACAAGGGATGAGTAATCAAAACCAAATCCTCAGGACTGATTAGTTCTGGGGCAAGACACAATTCAAGATGAATTTTCCTAGAAACCCGCTTGTGTGCTGGGGCTATGTTTACTACACCCACATACATACAGTGTCACATATACACCGTTTCATCCACACCTTTGATCCATTGATTGTGCAAGTGTCTATTAATTTTAGCCTGAGATCCCACATTCTAACGGAGAAGTCTGCCAGCCCACCCCAGAGTCCTCTGTAGTCCATGACCTCAGTGAATGGAACTTAGAAAAGTCCAATTCCAAGGCAAAATCACTATTCCAAGTCTTGGGTTTTTGCCAGTGGGTAGATGCGACAGTGTAGGGGAGCCTGCATCCACAGGCGTCCATAGGTAGAGGGTAGGGCGTGGGGAGGAGCTGCTTACCTGTGACCTTCAGCTGTGCTTCTGAGCTACATGAGCCCACTTGGAAAGTGATGGTCCCCGCATCCTCCAAGGTTACCTGAGGATACAGGTAGGAAGATGCTCAGTGCTGGCAGCCCCATCCTGACCAGGAAGGGCAGATTCATCTTACTAACCCCCAGTGACAGGGGCTTATCACCTCCCCAACCTGATCCCTGGTAGAGGAACATCTCCAATGGACTTGGAGCCTTCCAAGTCTAGGTGGAGAGCGGTCACGGATGCCCACCTTGTGCAGGGTGAGTAAGTGCAATGTGCCCTGCTCCACAGTGATGTCATTCATCTCATTGGCCTGTAAGGGTACTCCTCCTAAGGCCCAGCGGGCCTCCTGGCCCAGGGCCCTGGACAGCCGGCAGCGGAAGTGGGCATCCTGGCCTTCGCTGAGCTGCAGGTCCTGTAGGGGCTCCACGATGGTCACTTCAGGAGCTGGGTATGGGAGAGGCATTGCATCAGCCTGAGTCTGACATACGTCCTCATTCAGTATGGCTTCTATGACTCAAGGGTCCTCTCCTGACACACATATGCATATCCCCCAATTTCTGAAGACAAACATGGTAGCATGTTATCAGCTCCCTGATCCAACTCTAGGCAGAGAGAACGATCTGGGTTCTAACCCGTGGAGATGCTGGAGATAATCAAAGGCTGCAGTGTCACGGTCTGTACCACCTCCTGAAGGCCACGAGGCAGGGCCTTAAGCTTTAATACTGTGTGAGCCCCCAAACACCTCCCACTGGCCTGAGTCACCCACACAGCCAAGGAGCACCTAGAAACCACCAGCACCTAAGTTCTATCTCCCTGCCAGCATCCTAGCCCCCAAAGGAACCTTGCTGTCCATCTGTGCAGTCTGACAGGCCCACCCAAGCCAGCTACCTCGGACAGTGAGCTGAGCAGAGGATGAATGGTTCCCCACGTGGAAGGAGACAGTCCCGGCGTCTTCGGGTGTCACGCCCTTCAGCTGGAGCGTGTGGATGCGACCATCCACAACAGCCACCTCAGTGACCTCATTGCTCTGCAGGGGCAGGCCCTGCAGGCGCCACTGCACATCCGGGGCTCCAGCCTGTGATACTTCACAGCTGAACTCCGCGTCTTCATCAGCCTGCACCTCAGCATCCACCAGGCCCCGCACAATGGTCACCTCGGGCTCTGGGGGCAGGGTGAAAGAAGCACCTTAACCAGCCTGGAGACGGCCCCCACCACCTCCACCCCAGGAAGCCTCCCTGGCCACTCTTCGTGTGGCGTGGCACTGAGTAGGCTCACAAACACAGGGACTGGGCTTGGAGCACCTGCCTCCCCACAGACCATGCAGGGGCAGCTCTGTTTGCAGCCGGGCCTGTCCTGACTAGACCTAGAGGAATAGGAAGCAAGAGTTTCTAGAGGATCTGAGGGACCCAGAGAAGGCTGCCCAGGTCAGACGGGGTTACCCCACCTGCCAGATGGGGGGCAGGAAGCAGGGTCCCTCTTTTCTTGGAGGACTGGCATAGGAGGTGGTGCAAGAATGGAGAGAGCTGTGACCCAAGGGAGGCTTGGGCAGCCCTTTGAGCTGGTCTGCCCACGAATCCTTCCCAAGCAGCCTCAGGGGAGAGGGTGCAGCAGAGGGCTCAGCCTCCCTCCTGGGAGGTCGGGTGGCTTACCTTTGACTCTGAGAGAGGCCACAGTTTTCTGGCCACCCACCACACAGGCATACTCGCCAGTGTCTTTTGCTTCCAGCCCATGGATCAGCAGTTCACAAGTGGCCCCTCGGCACCGCATCTCATACTTGGGACCAACGCGAAGCTCCATGCCCTCCTTCAGCCATTGCACTGGTGCCCCAGAATCAACCTCATTCAGCTGGCAAGACAGCCGGGCCACACCACCTGCCTCCTGCTCTGCACTCTGCAAGCCAGTCTTGAACGTGGGCTTGGGGGCTGGCAGGCCAGAAAAGGACACTTAGAGCCACAGGCTCTGAGCCGCCCTGCTTTCTGCAGAGCAAGGCCCCCCAACCCCCATGTGGTAGGAAGAGCTGGGGTACTTGGGACCACAGACCACTCACCTAGGACGGAGAGCCTGGCTGTACTCTGCATATGGCCGGCGTCACAGGTGTAGTCCCCCGCATCCTCCTGCTCCACCTCACACACCCGCAGCTCAACCACCCTGCCCTCCTGCACCATCTGGTACTTGGTGCAGGGGAAGAGCTGCAGGGACCCCTTGCGCCATTCCACACTCCCGCCTGCCATGCTCAGCTCGCAGCACAGGTGCGCCGTGGTCCCCTCGTCTACCTCCTGGGCCTGCAGCTCCTGGAGGAACCTCACGGGTGCAGCTGCAAGGTTGGAGAGACAGCATGAAAGTAGGCCCTGAGCCGCTACAACACGAAGGACCAAGAGATGCAGCCCAGGACCCACATGAGAGGCAGGCACAGTCCTGGGAAAGAACCGGAAGTGACAGCTGGAGGGGCTGCCTCGCCAGCTCAGCTACAAGAGGGTCTGAAGGCCCATGGAGAAGAGTGCACAGGAATGGCGGTGGGACACAGAGGGGGCCCCAGAACTGCAGTTACTGACACAGAAAGCACTGGGAGTGGGGAGGCCGGACCAGAAAGCCCGGCCATGGGGAAAAATCAGAGAACCACGCAGAGTCCAAGGGAACAGGGAGCACACAAAAATTAGGACCTTGAGCAGGTACAAAATGAGGGAACCCATGGAGATGCTCAGAGGAGGAACCTGGAAGACAGGGCTGAGCTGCAGGATTGCTTCACTGAGCTCCATTTTCTCTACTGGAACCCCAGACATGGGGCTGTGGCCGCGAGGGTCAGCATGCAGACCGAACTCACCCTACCCCAGCCACACGGAGAGGTGGATACCCACCTGTGACTACGAGCATGGCGCTCGTGGTCTGGGAGCCACAGGTGCAGCTGTACTCGCCCGCATCCTCACGGCGCACATCCCAAAGCACCAACTCCACAACGCAGCCCTGCTGCCGGGGCTCTCGGCGCTCATCCGCCTGCAGCTCCAGTCCACCCTTGCTCCAGACCACACCAGTGTTAGGTGTCGACAGCTTGCACCGAAGGCTGGTTTTAGAACCCTCTTCCACCTGCAGGTTCTGCAGTGGCTCCTGGAACACCACCTGTGGGACTGCGGGAACGCAGGGTGTATCACATGAGGCAGAGTCAGCTCAGGACGTACACCTGAGAGCCTCAGCATACAGGTGACCAGGGCGAGGGCCAGGCACCCCTGCAGTCCCATGGCCTACCTCCATAGGATCGAATGTATCAGGACTGGCTGGGGAAGGGTGGAAGATAAGGAACTGGGTGGTTTCAAGAATAAGGAAGATAGTAGAGATGCTAGTAGGGGGAATAAGATCTGACTCTGGCTTCCTGATGTTTGCCTCACACAGCAGCCCTGCCACAGAGCTATATCCTCAGGATCTTGGCAGTAAAGGGGAAGGGAGTGGTGTTCTCTATAGTCTACCCAGAAGACATACAAGTTCAATATGTAGTTATTGTCGGACCCTTGGTCTGTGGCACTGTTCTTCCTAGGCCCGAGGCCAAGAACTTCTCCTTTTGATCCTATGACAGGGCTGCATCTCCCTCAGACTTGAAGAGAGAGCTGTGTTCCACAGACTCAGGGAGGTCTCTGTTCCTTATGCACCTAAGACTCTGAGGTATGGCAAGCATGCTCCATGGACACACTGGGAATTAGAGACTGAAAAAAGACTCACAAAGGAAAATCACTTCCCCCATGTGAGCATCAGAGAGAGAAGGGGGGAGATGAGAGGAAGGAAAAGGAGAGAAGGGAAGGGAAGCAAAGGCATGAGAGAGGAGAGAAGAGAGGAGAGGAGAGCAGAGAAGAGGCAAGGAGAGGAGAACCGTGTGCCAAGACTCAGATGAAGGTTGACACGGGCCAGCACTGTGAAAATAGCCAGACCGGGGCTGGGAAGGTGGCTCAGTAGTAGAGCACTTGCCTTGCATGCATGAGGCCCTGGGTTCAATTCCTCAGCACCACATAAGCAAAAAGAAAAAAGCTGGAAGTGGTGCTGTGGCTCAAGTGGTAGAGCGCTAGCCTTGAGCTGAAGAGCTGAGGGACAGCGCCCAGGCCTAGAGTTCAGGCCCCACGACTGGACCGCCCCCCCCAAAAATGAAAATAGCCAGACAGAATAGGGAAATGGAGAGAAGGCTTAGACAGCCCTGAGGAACAGGTCTAGCATTGACTGGGACCAGACAGAATAGAGAAATGGGCAGAAGGTTGGGAGGCAACTCTGGGGAACAGGATCAGCATTGGCTGAGGCAGACAATAAGAACAAAAACCCAAACAAGTCACGTGTTCACAAATCTTTACCCTCTACCATGTGATTTTTTTTTTGGGTCAGGTGTGGGGCTTGAACTCTGGGCTTGAGCATTATCACTCAGCTCTTCAGCTCAAGGCGAGAGCTCTACCACTTGAGCTACAGAGTCACTTCTGGTTTTCTAGTGCTTTATTGGAGATAAGAGTCTCATGGACTTTCCTGCCCAGGCTGGCTTTGAACCGCCATACTCAGATCTTAGCCTCGTGAGTAGCTAGGATGACAGGCGTGAGCCCCTGGTGCCAACTCATATTATTTTTTTTGTTGCTTTGTATGTTCCTCCCACACAGTATAACCTGTTTTCACTGTAGTTGAAGTTAGTATAGTTTGGGGAGGGAAAGGGAAAAAACAAAATGTTTAAGTAGGGATACAGGTTGACACATTGTAACAATGAGATGTACAAAACACTGTTGAACAACAAACTTTACAATTTAGGCATGGGGGAGGGAGAATGTAGTTGTGGAAGTGGGAGGGAAGGGATGGTAGGGGAAAAACAAAGGAGGAGGCAACAATGCTTCATAAGAAATGTACTCATTACCTTACTCATGTAACTGTAAGACCTCTGTACAGTATTTTCACAATAAAAATCTAACAAAAAAAAATCTTTACCCTGGACAGTCAGCATGGCTGAGGTCCTCTCCTGCCCACACACACACGAGTACTCCCCGGCATCTGCCACAGCCAAGTCACGGATCTGCAGCTCACACACAGCTCCGTTCTGCCTCAGGCTGTATCTTCCTCCATCTTCTAGGATCTCTTTTCCCTTCCTCCACTGCACAGCAGACACCTTGCTCAGCTCACAGCTCAGCGTGGCAGTGGACCCTTCCACGGCCTCCTGGCTTCTCATGTCTTCTGTGAATCTGGCAGGCAGGGCTAGGAAGGGCAAACAGAAACCATGGGGCTGTCCGGAAGGCTCTGTGCCACCCATGCCTGGGATCCACTGAGTCACACAAACTGACAAAGAACCTTGTCATGAACTGGAAAATGAAGGACAGAGGGCCAAGGAGGCAATGTTCCTGGAGGAACAGGGAAAGCTCAGGTAACAGACATTAACACGAGAACATCTCCTGGGCAAGGGAAAGGGAGGTAAGAGACACTGAGAGGACTCTGGTGACAAGACAGATGGTCACAGGGTCACCACAGCTGTGACACAAGTACAGGCAAACAGTAGTGCTGAGACACAACACATGGACAACAAGCCACAGGCTCATGTGGTCACACATGGACGGTCTTTACCCCTGATGGTCAGCGTGGCTGAAGTCTTCTCCTGCCCACACACACAGGAGTACTCCCCAGCATCTGCCACAGCCAGGCCACAGATCTGCAGCTCACACACGGCTCCTTCCCGCCTCAGCCTGTGCCTGTCCCCATCTCTCAGGGTCTCAGACCCCTTCCTCCACTCCACAGGTGCCGCCTTGGTCAAGACACAGCGCAGTGTGGCTGTGGCCCCTTCCGTGGCCTCTTGGCTTCTCAAGTCTTCTATGAATTTGGCAGGCAGGGCTGGAAAGGCCAAACAGCCACTGAGGACATGGAACTCCCAGAAGGACTTCCACAGAACACGGACTACACAAGGAGCCACACACATCACGGTAGAAGGATCCCCATGGGAACATATGACTGAAAGTGCAGGTGGTCAGGAGACACACATCCAGGGAGGCGTCACAGAGAGAGGGTTGTAGGACAGGAGCATGAGAGCATGTTCTGAGTAAGGAGAAAAGGAGGTGAGACGATCCTGGTTACAGGACAGATGGTCACAGGGTCACCTCAGCCGTGACATGTAGCGGCAGAAAGGAGACACAACATGTAGATGACAATCACAGGCTCATGTGGCCACACATGGACGGTCTTTACCCCTGACGGTCAGTGTGGCTGTGGTCCTCTCCTGCCCACACACACAGGAGTACTCCCCGGCATCTGTTTCAGCCAGGCTACGGATCTGCAGCTCACACACAGCCCCAGCCTGCCTCAGGCTGTATCTCTCCCCATCTCTGAGGGTCTTTGTTCCCTTCTTCCACTCCACTGGGGCTTCTTTGTTCAGCACACACTGGAGTGTGGCCGTGGCCCCTTCTGTGGCCTCTTCATTCTTCAGACCCTCTGTGAACTTGGTGGGCAGAGCTGGGGGAGTCAGAAAGACATAGCCACCGTCATGCTCACAAGCAGGAAGAAGACAGGATGTGGGTGCACAGGGAAGACAGAAAACCTGACAGGACCAAGGTCAGGGGTTGGGCATGCTGAACACTCTGTAGAACGGGATCTCCTCATGCCAGACTGCACATGGAAGTCACAGCTCTTTCGATAGCTTCCTCAGGCCTTATACTTTATATGAATTTTTCAGAGAAGTGCAGAGAAAGAGTCAGAAACAAATACACAATGTCAAACTTCCTTGAGAACCCTGAGAATAGGGCATGACAATACAAAGACAAGACAAAACCCAACGATAGAATCCACAGTGTTACAAAGGGCAGAAAGCTGGCTGCAGGCCTTGCGATCCTGATTCTCAGAACAAATAAAGCAGTGAGCGAGGGCTGCAGCACAGGGGAGAGGGGAGAGCAGGGAGGGCCATGTGGTGAGTGTGGATGGAAGGCATGAGGCCAGTACTTGGCACCCTTTGGATCTACTTTGTCACTTGTGGTCTTCACCCCCGACAGTCAGAGTGGCCATTCCCTGTCTTCCCACAAATACATCAATACTTGCCAGAATCTTCCAGGGCCAGGCTATGTATCTGTAGCTCACATACGGCCCTGTCCTCCATAGCCCCTATCTGTCCCCATCTCTAAGGTCTCTGTACCCTCCCTCTACCCCACAGGGGCTTCTGCTGATCCTGTGCAGTAGACAGGGCCCTTTCCATGGACTCCTTGAACTTCAGATCTTTGATGAACTGTGCGGACTAGCAAGGATCACACAGATAGAAGCCTTCAAACTTTTGGAGGTCATGATCTGAATACCCATGAAGCAAACAGAAAAAGGAAAACTGGAGGGTCATGGGAAAGGGCAGGTCAATAACTATTTTCCAGATCCTGTATTGTGTCTGCTGAAGTACAGTTTGGATGAGAGATGAGCTCCATTCCAGATCTTCTCAGCAGACATCTTGTCCTCTTTGTGATCTCCTATGTCTGGGAAGCATACCAGGCCTGGCCAGCTTGCTGCCTAGAGATGCAGTGATGTGATCATGAATGTCTCTCATGTAACTTCCACGGCAGACACTGTTTTGTCTCATGGTCTATCTATCGCAGGCAGGGGATCCATCCAGTTCTGTCCAACCTGAACACACTTGGGCTCCTGTACACCCTCCAGATCATGAGCCCCCTCTCCTCTGTTACACATTCCTGTCCTGACACTATTGCAACCACACCCTACCCACTAGTGCCATGTGCTGACTCTGCCTACTGCACTCCCATTGACTGTAGCTATGGTTACCCGTTGTACCCTTGGCCTCTGACCTGTCCTGCAGCCCTCCCTCCTGATTCCAGAGTGTGCACTGTACAAGTTACCAGTGACCAGGGATCCCTCACCCTGGCTGCATCTGGACTAATTATTTGCAGTTGGGGTCTTTGCACAGGTGGCTAAGGTAAAAAAAAAAGGCAATGACAGGACTAGTATATTTATAAGCAGTTCAAACATAAACACAGGAGGATGACCATAGGAAGTCATGTAGAAGACAGCTGTCTGGAAGCCAAGCAATGGACTCAGATTGAACAAACCTTATTCCAGTCTGACCCCAGAACTACAAGGAAATGAATTTCTCACTCAAGAATATAGACTGGGCACTTCTGTAACAAATAGAGGTGGCTTCCGAACTGTATAAAGGCTAGAGGTTAGGAGATTTTAGAGGTACACTTTATATGCATTGTAGTACTCTACAATGCGCTGTAGTACTCTATAGAAGGTAGACTTTAGAAACAATAAAATTGGATGTTGAGCTGAGGAGATTCTTAGGTAAAGTGGTGAAGATGTAGCCTGGTTTCTTGTCACCTACAATAAAATGTGAGGAGAGACAGATAAGCTAAAGAAAGAAGAAACCTGAACCTCACGATTTAGAACACTTACAACCTGGCCATAAAGCAAAACCCAGAAAGTATTATCTGAAGAGAACATTAGGAAGGGGCTAGTCACCTCAGCTCAGCTGAAGCCAAAAAGTAGAGATGAGATTATCCAGGAAGGACCTGAGAAGGATCATAGGCAATGCACAGAAGGATGTGGTTTATGAGAACTTTATAGCAGTAGAGAAGCTGCCAGCCTACAATAAAAAGGACAGAGACAGGGTGAGTAACTGGGGGTTTCTCCAGTCTTCTATGAACTTGGCAGGCAGGGCTGGAGAGGGCCCAATAGCAAACGAGAACATGGGACTCCCCGAAGGACTGTGTGCAGAACATGGAACATGAAGAGCCACACGCTCCGTTGTAAAGGACCATGTTGTAAACATATGACCGAAAGCCTAGGTTGGGGAGGCACACATCTGCCTAGACCTCCTAATAATGATAGAATGAAGGAATGCTGTCAGACTTCTGGGGCTGAGCCAACAGAGCCCCTAAGCTACCCATCTGCTACCCCCCAAGTCTGACTGTTACCCAGGCACTGGTGGCTCATGCCTGTAATCCTAGCTACTTAGGAGGCTGATATCTGAGGATTGTGATTCAAAGCCAGCCCAAGCAGTAATGTCTGCAAGACTCTGATATCCAACCCACCACCAGAAACCTGGAAGTGAAAGTGTCGCTTAAGTAGTGCATAGCCTTGAGCAAGAACGCCCAGGTCCAGAAGGAAGAAGGAAGAAGGAAGGAGGAGGGGAGGGGAGGAGGAGGGGGGGAGGAGGAGGAGGAGGGGGAGGAAAGAAGAAAGAACAACAACTACTACTATACTGTGAAGGTAGGTCAGGGCCTGAGGCACAGAGGATGACATGGGATCCCAAGACCACAGGCTATCTCCCCCTCAGTTCTCCAGGGCGAGGGTACCTCCATTCAGGGCCACATGGGTGGGGCCAGAAGACAGGGCACTGAGACAAAGAGGACTCTTGTCTAGACATAAACCTAGTGGTTACATCTCAGACTGGCTTGGGGCCTTTTTCATTCTAACTGACCACTTTTTCAGTAAGAATCTTTATCCTCCACCTGTCCTCCTGTGATCTGGAAATGAATACTCTGCCAGGTTTCATGGGTTCACAGCTAGGAAGGTACTTGACCTCAGAGGGAATCATACCTTCAGGCTCACACTTAGATGACATTTAGAGATGATTTTGGAATTAGATTTGATGCTCAAATGAGTTAAGGCTTTGGAATATTGGGATAGTCTTAATGTATCTTGCATGTGAAAAGAACATGAGTTTTGTAAGAGTAGAGCGTTACCAGCTGAATAGCTATGTGTTCTTTGCTCCTACTTCATACACTGACACCCACAACTAGTACCTCAGAATATAACTCTATTTCTGGTAAGGCACTGAAAGAAGGAATTAAGTTAAAATGAAGTCGTTAGGCTGGGCTCCAATCTAAAATATGACTAGTTAGTATAAGTTTGGGACAAAAAGACACACAGAAGGGTGACCATGTGACACATGGAAAAGAGGAACATTCACCAGCCAGAGTGAGCGGCCTCAGGGAAAACCCGTTCACACTTGCTGTTGGAATTCTAATATATAGAATTTATAGGAAAATAAATTTCTGGGTTTTTTTCATTTAAACTTCTGGTGTTTTAGTTTCCCGGTCTGTGGTGCTTAGTGCTTGAACAGCCTATGGCAGCAAAGTTCAGAGGCCTGATATTCCTTGCAAGACTCGGTTAAGTGATCTACCAAATTCAAGAATTCCTGATTCTATTTTTCCCCCCACCCCACCTTCAACATAGTGATGACACACAGGCCCTCAGCGCCATGCCCAAGCCCAAAACGCCGGGGTTCCTCGCGAGTCCCTGGCAAGATGCCCATGGCCCTCGCAGGTCTCCTGGTCACCAATGCTCCTCTATTCATGCTCCTCTAGGCTCTCTCCTGTCCCTAGACCTGGCTAACAGAATGTGTCCTCATGAGCACATATGGATGGATCACAGAGACCAGTGACTTGGAATGAGATCATGGCATCTAGACATAAGGAGGGCACAAACCACACATGGTCAGGAGGGAGAAGCCAGATCACTTGAATGACCACACATGGTAATGGCCATCCATGGTCAGGATGGCAGAAGTTCCCTCAGGAGGACACCGCAGCATCCTGAACTGAGAGCCTATGGATCCACAGCTCACACAAAGCCCCATGATGTCTCAGGCTACATCTGCCTCCATCTCTCCAGACTTCTTTCCCCTTGCACCACTCCACCATTCCAAGGGTCTGCCTTGCACAGTTCACACTGCAGCATGAACGCAGCCCCTTCAGACCTCATGGCTTTTCAGGTCTTCCATGAATCTGGCAGGCAGAGTAAGGAAAGGCCAAGGAGGCACTCAGAACATGGGGAAGAACACAGTGCATAGGACACAGGGACACACACACACACAGCCCAAAAACAATGGCAGAAGAGATGGTGAGGCAGGCAAATGTCCCGAGAGGCTCAAGGTAATGAACATCTGGAAGAGGAGAGAAAGGGAAGCAAAATGCCAAGAGGCCCATGATTTAAGACAGAGGGGCACAGGTGACGACCACAAAGCCAAATGTTCAGGCAGGGGGAACATTGAAACACCATATACAGACAACAGCCACAGGCTCATGTGGCCACACATGGCATTTACCCTGGACAGTCAGCATGGCTGAGGTCCTCTCCTGCCCACACACACACGAGTACTCCCCGGCATCTGCCACGGCCAAGTCACGGATCTGCAGCTCACACACAGCTGCCTCAGGCTGTATCTTCCTCCATCTTCTAGGATCTCTTTTCCCTTCCTCCACTGCACAGCAGACACCTTGCTCAGCTCACAGCTCAGCGTGGCAGTGGACCCTTCCACGGCCTCCTGGCTTCTCATGTCTTCTGTGAATCTGGCAGGCAGGGCTAGGAAGGGCAAACAGAAACCATGGGGCTGTCCGGAAGGCTCTGTGCCACCCATGCCTGGGATCCACTGAGTCACACAAACTGACAAAGAACCTTGTCATGAACTGGAAAATGAAGGACAGAGGGCCAAGGAGGCAATGTTCCTGGAGGAACAGGGAAAGCTCAGGTAACAGACATTAACACGAGAACATCTCCTGGGCAAGGGAAAGGGAGGTAAGAGACACTGAGAGGACTCTGGTGACAAGACAGATGGTCACAGGGTCACCACAGCTGTGACACAAGTACAGGCAAACAGTAGTGCTGAGACACAACACATGGACAACAAGCCACAGGCTCATGTGGTCACACATGGACGGTCTTTACCCCTGATGGTCAGCGTGGCTGAAGTCTTCTCCTGCCCACACACACAGGAGTACTCCCCAGCATCTGCCACAGCCAGGCCACAGATCTGCAGCTCACACACGGCTCCTTCCCGCCTCAGCCTGTGCCTGTCCCCATCTCTCAGGGTCTCAGACCCCTTCCTCCACTCCACAGGTGCCGCCTTGGTCAAGACACAGCGCAGTGTGGCTGTGGCCCCTTCCGTGGCCTCTTGGCTTCTCAAGTCTTCTATGAATTTGGCAGGCAGGGCTGGAAAGGCCAAACAGCCACTGAGGACATGGAACTCCCAGAAGGACTTCCACAGAACACGGACTACACAAGGAGCCACACACATCACGGTAGAAGGATCCCCATGGGAACATATGACTGAAAGTGCAGGTGGTCAGGAGACACACATCCAGGGAGGCGTCACAGAGAGAGGGTTGTAGGACAGGAGCATGAGAGCATGTTCTGAGTAAGGAGAAAAGGAGGTGAGACGATCCTGGTTACAGGACAGATGGTCACAGGGTCACCTCAGCCGTGACATGTAGCGGCAGAAAGGAGACACAACATGTAGATGACAATCACAGGCTCATGTGGCCACACATGGACGGTCTTTACCCCTGACGGTCAGTGTGGCTGTGGTCCTCTCCTGCCCACACACACAGGAGTACTCCCCGGCATCTGTTTCAGCCAGGCTACGGATCTGCAGCTCACACACAGCCCCAGCCTGCCTCAGGCTGTATCTCTCCCCATCTCTGAGGGTCTTTGTTCCCTTCTTCCACTCCACTGGGGCTTCTTTGTTCAGCACACACTGGAGTGTGGCCGTGGCCCCTTCTGTGGCCTCTTCATTCTTCAGACCCTCTGTGAACTTGGTGGGCAGAGCTGGGGGAGTCAGAAAGACATAGCTGTAAACATACTCTGAGCAAATGAATATATAAACAGTACAGAGCAGACACAAAATCCAGTAGGTGTCAGTCAGGTGCTAGGTATGCTGAGAACTTGATACAGATTTTGTCTTCTCTTAATATTATGTCCAGGTACCTGTGTCCTTTTCAGTCCTCATAAAGGATATGAGTCTGGTATGTAGGACAGATTCTCTGTTGATCTCTGGCAGGCAGGACATGGTAAGTACGAGAGCAAGACATGGAGTCTACCAAGACAATAGCAGAAATCCATGGTGTACAGGGGTAGAAAGCTCACTATGGATGTGATTTCTCTTGGTTCATACAACGGCCCAGGAATCGGGACTCACAGTTTTGGAAAGACATTGACACAGACAATGGAAGAAAACATGGACTGAGCAGCATGTAAATCCTTCAACATAAAGGCCAGAGAATGGATCTACTTGGCCACATTTCTTTACCCTGGACAGTCAGCATGGCCGAGGTCCGCTCCTGCCCACACACACAGGAGTACTCCCCAGCATCTGTCATGGCCAGGCCACGGATCTGCAGCTCACACACGGCCCCATCCTGCCTCAGGCTGTATCTGCCCCCATCTTGGAGGGTTTCAGACCCCTTCTTCCACTTCACAGGAGCCCCCTTGGAGAGTTCACACCGCAGCATGGCTGTGGCACCTTCAATGTTGGCTTGGCTTTTCAAGTCTTCTAGGAATCTGGCAGGCAATGCTGGGAAAGGCAAACAGTCACTGAAAACATGAAGCTATTGGAGGTCTTTGCATAGAAACGAATTCACAAAGAGTCACACATACTGCTAAACATCACAACATAACCCAGTGAACTACCATACAGATAGTGAAGAAAGCAAGTAGCTGGAAGAAAGATGCAGCGGTGGAACAACATGAGAATGAGGACATTTGGATGAGGAATACAAGAGGTGAGAGATGCCCAGAGAACACTAGAAGTGAGGAGAGATAATCGATCACAGATCTCCACAGGAGCTGTACTACATGTGAAGGTGGAAGACAGTGAAGGGGTCAATGTGAAGACATCAAGCCACAGGTGCATGAACACATAGATAATCTTTACCCCTGACGGTGAGCGTGGCTGAGGTCCTCTCCTGACCACACACACAGGAATACTCTCCAGCATCTGCCACAGCCAGGCCATGGATCTGTAGCTCACACGTGGCCCCTTCCTGTCTGAGGCTGTATCTGTCCCCAGCTATAAGGGACTTCGTTCCCTTTTTCCACTCCACGGGGGCCTCTTTGCTCAGCTTACATTGCAGAGTAGCTGTGGCCCCTTCTGTGGCCTCTTCATTCTTCAGACCTTCTGTAAACCTAGCAGGCAGGCCTGGGGAGGTCAGAAAGCATGGACATAATCATGCTTTCTAAGCACATGGAAAAGAGAATAAGACCCGAACAGACTGGGAAAACACAAAACCCAACTACACATAGGCCTGTGCTGGGCCACTGCTTACGAGCATGTGGGTGAGGCTGTGCCTCCCTATGGTCTAGCCTGTGTTCCACCTGCCTATGGCACATTCTATGGCTGCAAGACTAGCAGGGCTGAGAATAACCAACACAAAGAATATCAGGATCTCAGGAGAATGCTGGGATAGTACATGCCATTCAATAATGAAAAACATGCTGGAAGTAACAAGAAAGGAGCACATGGCACACAGCAAGAAAAGAGCACAGTGAGGGCAAAGAACAGACTAGCCAAGCCTACCCAGATAGAGGCAAGAGGAGAGACAGAGGAGGGCCTCAGAGCAAGCACAAATCACAGAAGAGCCACGGGACCCATATAGAATAACAGAACCACTGGCCGTAAGGGACAACCCCTGCCCCAGCCATCTTTGGACGCCTTCCCAGTCTGGCCAGGATGCACAGATTATATCACACCAGAGTCAGGGGCCCATTCTGTATTTCCTTTTTTCACAGTTGTTCATTATCTTGGTGAATGGACAGAGGAAGGAGACCCCATAGAGGCTACTTGAAACTGTCATAGAAGCTATGCCTGACGCCATTTCCCAGGACACACAAGGAAGGAGCACCCTGACTGGGTTAGAAGCAGTCTCCACTTTGGTCCTGGAGCAGGCAGTCGCAAAGCTGCATCCCCTTGTCATTAGGGGGCAAGCACACTCCTCGATACACTGAACTCCTGTATAGATGGATGCCGAGACCACCCTGGAGCATCATCCAGACAGCCACAGGGAAGCAGAAGATAGAGCTGTGGGCAGAGCTCCTGGCCATCTGTTTGAGATTGGGGAGTCTGGTCTGTTTCATTTGCCTGGAGGTCTTTAAGCACACAGTGGCTTGGGGCATCATCTGGATTTAGTCCAGTGGTAACCTCTGAAAATACAGCACTTTCTAGGAGGATCTTGGCAGGCTGCCCGCCATGCCCAGCCCTTCTTGGGACATGCCCAACTCTGGAAGCAGCTCCCTTAGGTGGACAATAGCTGGCCCACTGGGACTCTATTAGCGACTGACAGCACGTCTTGATGAAGCAGGCTACTTCACGAACTCTGCAGCCACAAGATGGGCTTTGGAGGCTACAACCCAATTGTCTCCTGGTGGGTTTGAGGACTCGTTGACACCAGTCCTCTATGCTCTGACTCTGTGCTCGGTCCATGCAGCTTGATGTGTAGTGACAGTCTGACCTTTCTGCAACTGTCTCCAACACTTGTGCAAGAGCTGCCAAGCAAAGGCCTGGACAACAGGTGGCCATGCAGCGTCACACACCCACTCTGAGAAGTCCATCCTGGAGGTGAGACAGAGCTCTCCAGACAAAGGAGTCTCACTCCATCCACGCTAAGATACCCAGGCCTCCCTGAACCTCTGTGATACCCAAGCTCTTCATAAATGTCATCCACCTTCATCAATCTTCCCTGCACTCCTGGATCTCTGATGGGGAGATGACCCATCATGGAAACACCAGGACAAAGGTTCCAGCTCTCTGGACACAGGGACACCATGGGATCTGAAGTAGAGTGTAGTAGGCTGGCTCTGTCTAAGGTCTGATTTGCTTCCCATGTGTATAAAAAGCCCCTGGACCTGCCATAGCTAGCTGTGAGTCTCCCTATTCCCTGCTAGCTGTATCTGTCTAAGGCCCCAAGCCTCTTCCTCCATCTGAGGGAGAGGAACCACTCAGACTGCACTGTGGCATCTATGTCCTACCCATGTGCGGTCATGTGGACATGAAGATCATTGAACTCCGTAGTTTGCAGACAGGAAGTGGGGCACTGACACCCACTCTGTGGGCAAAAGCTTCCAAAGGGACTCTGTAGTGCCCTTTCTCACAGGGGAACTGGTAAGAAGAAATAGGGATCACCCCTGCGTAACTCCAGTGGACTAGCCTTCCCCTTGCCCTTACCCACCACCCTGACACACGGGGGATATACCCACACACACATACATCTTACTCCATGGGGTAGGCCTTCACTTCTGCCTCACGCTCACAGAACAGGCCTTGTCACCCACCTGACACCCAAGGACAGGCCCTCACCTCCTCCTCACACCCAAGGACGGACCCTCATCTCAAACCTCAACACCCACAGGACGGACTCACCTGGCGGTTAGAAGCACACATCAAGGATTCCCTCCCTCTTGCATTCTTGCCTTGTGTGTCATCCCTCCATCTTCTTCCAACCCTCTATTCTTTTTCTTTTCCTTTTTGTCAGTTGTGGGGCTTGAACTCAGGGCCTGGGCGCTATCCCTGAGCTTTTCTGCTCAAGGCTAGTGCTCTACCACTTTGAACCACAGCTCTTCCAGTTTTCTGGTGGCTAAGTCTCACAGACTTTCCTGCCCAGGTTGGCTTTGAACTGAGATCCTCAGATCTCAGCCTCCTGAGTAGTTAGGATTACAGGCGTGAGCCACCTAGCTAATTCTGCTTTCTTGATGTGCTGTGACCACTGCCCCCACTCTGTCCTCCCCATCCCTGTGCCTCCCCCAAGCCGGACCTATAATTACATCATTCTAATTGCCTGCCTTTCCCTCTGTCTTCTGTCCCAAACCATGACCTGCATGGGGAGGGAAAGAGCCATCCATTCTTGACTGTTTTCTGGCTTCCAAGATGGGTCCTACACAGTAGGTGTGGGAAATACCTACTAAGGAATGAAGACACATAGAAAACCACAAAAACCACAGCACCGTCGGAGGCAAACACAGGCTATGAGAAAATGTTCAAACACAGAGCCAGCCATGCATGTGAGCACACATGGTCTTTACCCTTGACAGTCAGCATGGCAGAGGTCCTCTCCTTCCCACACACGCAGGAGTACTCCCCAGCGTCTGCCACAGCCAGGCCACTGATCTGCAGCTCACACACAGCCCCAGTCTGCCTCAGGCTGTGTCTGTCCCTGTTTCTCAGGGTCTCTGTTCCCTTTCTCCACTCCACTGGGGCTGCCTTGCTCAGCTCACAGTGAAACGTGGCTGTATCTCCTTCTGTGGCCTCTCTGCTTCTCAGTCTTCCAATGAAGTGGGCAGGCAGGGCTGGGGAAAGTCAGATATTAGAAATATCAGACTTGCTGCAATCCACTGGGGAGTAGCATGTGACAGGGGAAGGACAAGACACACAGAACTGAACAGGACAATAGGAAAGAACCCATGGCCCATGGGTGGGAAGCTGGCTGAAGACACAGTCTCCCGGTTCATACAACAGCCCAGAAGCAGAAAAGGATTCTGTGGTATACAAGATGAAGTGGCACAGACAGGAAGAGGGAACACTGAACATATAGGCAATGTTTGAGCATCAGAACACAAATCAATTTGGCTGCTGTGGTCTTTACCCCTGACAGTCAGCGTGGCTGAAGTCTTCTCCTGCCCACACACGCACGAGTACTCCCCAGCATCTGTTTCAGCCAGGCTCTGGATCTGCAGCTCACACACAGTGCCATCCTGCCTCACGCTGTGTCTGTCCCCATCTCTGAGGGTCTCTGCTCCCTTTCTCCACTCCACCAGGGCCTCTTTGCTCAGTTCACACCGCAGAGTGGCTGTGGTCCCTTCTGTGGCCTCCTTGCTTCTCAGTTTTCCTATGAACTGGGCAGGCAGGGCTACAGCAGGGTCAGACAGAGACAGAGAACATCATCATCTTCATTCTCCTATACTAAACGAAGAGGTCCAAATGGGCAGAGTGGACAGGAGCACTTACCCTTCACAGTGAGTGTGGCCAAGGTCACCTGGTCCCCAAAGGAACACGAGTACTGCCCACTGTCCTTGGGTTGCAGGTCTCGGACAACCAGCTCGAGCATGGCACCCTCTTGGCGCAAGCTGTACTTCCCACCAGATTTTAGAACATCCTCTCCATGGCGCCACTCCACAGGTGCAGCCACGGATGAGAGTACACAGCGCAACGTGGCAGCTCCACCCTCTGGTACCTCCATGTCCTTCAGGGCCTCCCGGAACCGTACTGGCCGTGCTGTAAACAGTACAGACTCAGGTCACCCTCCCTAAGCAAGAGCCCACCTGTGGAAGCAGCGACAGTACATAGGCAGTTCACACACAGGGGGCCAGAGGCAGGGACCCCCACGTCCTCTAGGGAAAGGTGGAAGGTATGGGAGTGGAATGGTGAGCCAGGGAGTAGGGGAATGAAAAATGGCAGGAATTACAGACTGAATTGTGTCCTCCAAAATTCAGTGTGAAAGCACCAATTCCTGACTCAGAAGAAGACTAATTGGTAATAGGCACTCATTGATTCATTTATTTGATTTTGGTGGTGCTCAGGGCCTTGAGCTTGGTAGGCAGGCACTCTACCACTCTGCCACTTTTCCCTAGCCCTTTCTGCTCCATTGAGGTTTTTTTCAGATAGGATCTTGTGCTTTTTTCCTGGGCTGGCCTAGACCATGGTCTTCTGGTCTCTGCCTGGGATTAGAAGTAACTGAGAGAAAGTCTGTGTCACCACACCCTGAACTTTAAAGAAAGAATTAGCTAGGCTCCAGAGGCTCACACCTATAATCCAAGCTATTTAGCAGAATGAGATCAGGAGGATTGCAGTTTCTTAAGATCCATATTAATGTAAAAGCTGGGTTTAGTTCATTCACCTATTATCAAAGATATGATAGGAAGGATAAAACAGTCATATTGTGGTATAGGCCCAGGTCCAGGCAAAAGTCAAGACTCTATTTCAAAATGACTAGTGCAAAAAAAGTGCCAGAGGTTTAGCTCAGTGGAGAATGCCTGCCTAGTAAGGGTTAGGCCCTGAGGTTCAAATCCCAATACCACCATCAGCGAAATAATAAATGAAAATGTAAAATAAGATCATTAGAATGGGCCATTAGTTACACAGGACTGGTGTCCTTGTAAAAGCTCAGGCCACAGACATACACAGAGCACAACAATATGAGGACAACAGAGAAGACAGTGTCTTCAAGCGAAGGAGAGACGCCTCCAGAGTGCTTAGTAAAGACTGACACTTGGACCTGGGACTTGTACTCTCCACAACTGTCAGACAACAACAACTCCTGGTGTTTAGGTCACCCTAACTATGGCACTCGGTTAGGAGAGTACAAGAATAAAACAGAGAAGCAAACCAAAGGTGGGAAGAGGGTGCCTGTAGGTACCATAAAAAAAGACCTTATTGGCCACAGACAGAGGTCAGGAGACAGAGGGTGGGGAGTCTGGGGTCAAGGGTAGGGGTTAGGGAAGGGGAGGAGAGATGAGATATAGAGGAAGGAGCCAAGCAAGGCCTGCAAGTGCCCACACAGAGAACAGAAATGGACAAAGAAAGAACTAGAAGGCATCCTGGGGTCCTCACTACGTCATGCTCCTGGTGGACATCTGCTCACCTTAACCATGAGTGCCTCAGTAAGGCGATTGCTGCAGACACCCTGGAACTCACCGTGGATCCTGACAATGGAGCTGCTCCAGGCCCCGCCAGCTTCACATTTGTACCGCCCACCATCCTGCAGGGTGGTGCCAGTGATAACCAGCTGGGCCCGGCAGCCCTCATAGCTCATTTGGCACCGTGCAGATGACCGCACCGTCTTTCCATCCTTGGTCCAGCGCACAGGGATATCCAGAGTGGAAGTCTCACATTCAAGGCTAAGGTCCTCGCCTTCTGTAACTGTGACATCCATGAGAGGGCGGGAGAAGATGCTTGGTTTTTCTAGGGAACAGAGAACACAGTCAAGGTTGCTTAGGTGTACAGTGCAGCCGTGGGAGGGGCTAGTACTACAGGCCAGGAAAGTCCCTGGTCCACAACTGGTATCCCTGACATGGTGTACTCTACGTGGCCTCCATGGATAGACATGAGCTATGCCAAAGATGACTTAGGAGGAATTCAGCCTAGACTAGCCCAGTTCAGCCTCCCGAGTGGTGTTCCTGGGACTGGAGTCCCCATACCACTGGCAGCTAATTGTGCCTTTTCTGTGAGCCCCAGAAGCATGCTTGAGACCTTCTATCTGAGAAGTTGTCTGAGCCTTTTCAAGGCTCTCCACAGACTACACTGGGTGCCCTGTCACGGCTTGCCCTGGCCTTTCAGCACAAAACCAACCGGTGACTCTCAGGGTGGCTGAGGTGCGCTGGTCACCCGCCTCCAAGTAGACGGTGCCCGAGTCCTTGAGCGCCAGCTGCCGCAGGGTGAGCACGTGGTAGCCCCCAGGCCGGGCCTCGATCTCATTGAGCTCATTGGCATGCAGTGGGGTCTTGTCCAAAAACCAATGAACGGGTCCATAGTCGGCGGGGGAAACACGGCAGCAGAAGGTAGCAGAGGCGCCCTCCTGCACATCTGTGTCCTCCAGGTCCTCGGTGATAAGCACTCTCCGGCCTGAAAGGTCACAGGAAGGAGTGTAAGCCCCATACTGTCTAGAGATAGAGAAATATGGCTCTTCCCAAAGCTGTGGTCAGGAGACCCTTCCTGCAGGGTTACTCCTGCTCTTGTGCCAGTCACTTCCACACCACTTAAAGACCACTTCCTTCTCTACAAAGCAGGGAGAATGACAGCTGCTACCCTGCATGCTGACACAAACAACCACTGACACCTGGAGACAAAAAATGACAGCAAAAAGTCGCCATCACTATTTTGAAAGCTCCTGAGCTGAGGATGAAACTGTTCTTGTCAGACCCAGACAAAATCACAAAGGGCTGTTACAAAGGTGGGGCAGGGACGGTGGTTCTGCTTCTCTGAGATAGACACTTTCTCAAGGTCCCAAAGAAACTCCTTCTAATTCCTCTTATACCGATGCTTTGCATACCTTGCCTATCCAAGCACACAGAGTTTGAAAAAAAAAAAAAGCTTATCTTCTCTAAGACGTCAGCAAAAGATGCCCTGACCGTCGGGGCACGCCACCAATGAGCAGACACTAACACTCTCCCTCTCCCCGCACCCCCTCTCCAGGTTTCCAAGACCAATGAACTCTGTACCTCTGGTTTTCAACCTTCCCCTTGCTTCCTTGGATACACCTTTCCTTTACCACGGCACATGTGTTTCCATGGCAACACATTATTCTTCAGAGAATCTCACCCTGACCTTTTAAATCAATGCTACCAAAACAATGGTCATACTGACCATCCATTTTCCTCTGGGAATACCTAAGGCTCGCTGTCCACTGGCAAACCTGGCAGTGGCACATCATGTGCAGAACAATACCTGCAGAACACATGCCTCTGATGCTACACATGTCTGGACATCAGAGAAACATACCTTGAGCAATAAACATGTAAGTCAAAGAAGGCCACGCATTGATTTATAGAAGGTTGTATTGGAATGCCCTCCAAGACCACCTAGGTGATGAATCTTACCTCAGAGATGGGCCAAGCTGAGCCCGGATCGCTGATAACCTCTGAGTCGCTAGGGTCTATGTAAAGCCTCTATCTAAGCCCCCTGCGGTCCCCAAGGCCAGCATGCCAATAAACAATGCAGTGAGTATCCCGCCTGCCTCACCATGCACCGAGAGCTGGGCCTGGGACTGGGCTTGGCCAATGTCGCAGGTGTAGGTGTCGCTGTCTGCCTTTTCCAGGGCATTGATTGTGAGCCTCAGGGTCAAACCCTCCTGGCTGAGGATGTGTTTTCCTGAGGCCCGCAGCTCCATGAGGCCCTTGCGCCAGGTCACAGCAGGTGCTGGGTATTCTGTCTTGCATGCAAACACAGCTGTGCCTTTTTCCTCTGCCTTCAGGTCAACCAGCAACTCGGTGAACTGATTGGTCTTTTCTAGGAGAGGGACAGAACAGGTAAAGGGTACAGGTTACAGGTTACACGCCATACCAGCCCTGTTCTCTTCCTTAGCAGACCTGAGTTCTCCCTGAGACTCTGAGTAATGTCTCAGGACAGAGATCACTTCATGACCAGAAGCTGGGTCTCCCAGGGCACTTACCTTCCACACGGAGGCTGGCGGTGCTCTTGGACGCTTCTGTCTCACATGTGTACTTGCCGGAGTCCTTGAATGTGGCCCCTCGGATGACAAGCACAGCCCGTGTGCCTTCGCTCATCATGTCATACTTCTGACTCTTGCGGATGGCCTTCCCGTCTTTCAGCCAGCGGACAGAGGCTCCTGCCTTTGACAGTTCACAACTCAGCATTGCATCCTCCCCCGGTGTGGCTCGTTGGTCTTCTAGGGGCTTTGTGATGTCCACTGGCCTCTCTAAAGAGAGTGAAAGTGGCCACCCATGAATCATAGCCACTGCCACAGTCCAACCACCACCTCAGTTACACCCATGACTATAGCCATAGCTACACAGCTGCAGCCTTGGCCTCAACCTCAGCCCCGGCCAGAATGAGGGCCGGGAGAAGCATTTTGAAACAATGAGTCTCTGGAGACCAAGACCGCAGAACCTATAGCCCTAAAACCCTGCGACTTTGGACCCCAGGGGTAGCAAGGCCTTGAAGTAGAAGCCCTGTCAGAAAAGGGGAGACCCGGTAGTCAGGGGCAACCCAGAACCAGGAGCTATGAAGCCACAAGACCTTGTATTCTCACTGCCATTCAGGGCTCACAAGGCTGGCCCTTGTGCAGAGAGCTTCACAAAGTACACCAAGTATGAAAGTCAGAAACACAAGCTCTAATAAACACCAATGGTGACTTCCCAGCCAAGCACCTGTACACAAGCTCAGGTGTCAGACTGGACAGATGGACCAGGTGTGAATAGGAGCTACCAGCCAAACAGGATAGTCAGACCACAGACTGGAGACCAAACTCCTAGGTGAGCTCTGAATGTTCAGGAATGCATCAATTAAGCCCCTTGTATGATTAAACCCCTTCACATCTTAGCAGGTTCTCCAAATCACCACATCCTTTCAAATGAAGCTGGGAGGCTGGGAAGACAGGACCTGAAGCTTGTAGGTGTGGTAGCCCCGCCCCCGCCAGCCACAGGGATAAGCCCGCTCCAGCCTGTGGTGCTCACCTCTGACGATGAGTGATGCCTTGGAGGTGAGGTTTCGTATGGAGAAGACCACCTCCCCGGCGTCACTGGGTGCAGCGTCTAGGACGGTCAGCGTGTATCTGCGGCCCTGGCATGTGGCCCGGAAGTGGCCAGAGCTGCCCACTGTCTTCCCACCAACCGTCCACACCGCTGGGTCACCTGAACTCTCATGAGACAGAACACACTCGAAGCTGCAGCTCTCCCCCTCCAGCACTTCCACTGTCTTCAGCCTCTTGGTAATGCCCACGTGCAGATCTGAGAGCGATGGGAAACTTGTCATGGCAGATGGCCCAGAGACAGAGGACCAAGAACACAGCACTGCCCCAGAAAGTGTCAGATCACATTTCATGGCTTGTGTTCCTACTTGCTCTCCTTGGTCCTTCCTCGCCCCCATGATCAACACCATAGCTTGCATGGCCAGTGGCTATGAGCTATGATCAAGGTGGCCGAGACAGCAAGGACTGTGCACTTCTCACCAGCTTGGAACATCTCAGGGAGGAGGAACTGGAGTCCCAAAAAGAGAGCTCCTTCAAATAGCTTGGACAAATTCACTATTCCCCTTTAGACCACAAGCCAGGCTATCACAGAGCTGCCATGAAATGAGGAACCAGCAAGCCTGTGAACACGTGTCTTCTAAATAAGCAGCTTTGGAGGCTGAGATCAGGATATCAAAACCTGAATTAGGGCAGTGGGCGTCAGCCCTGTAGTTAGAAACCCAAACAAGCTGAGAGGGACACGCTCAAAACCCACAAGTTCAAGGTGGCAGGGCCAGACCTGGGTGCTGACTATGAACTGAGAAACTTCCTGTGGCTCTATAATTAATGAGAACTGGGTCAGTCATTACCAGGCTCTTTGCCCTTGTCCTGGAGTCTTTCCCAGGCAGCCTCCTGCCCATATCTCTCAGCACCTCACACCCACACAACCAGTTTCTGCTCAGAAATCAGATACTCTGATACTCAGTCTGTATCCTGTGGTACAGAGAAAGTGTCTCCGGCCCACTGGGGCCATCGAGTACATCCAGAATAGTTGCCTACTCTTGGTTCTATGGCCTATTGTCCCCTGGCCCACCTACCTCCAGGTGGACCTCTAGAGGACACTAAGCCTGGCTCCCACAGGAATCTGTACAGACATTTCCTAGCCCCCTCTAAGCAGCCCTTCAGTCTCATCAAGTGCCACGGGCCACCCAGGTCAGAGGAAGACCACTCCCCAGGGTCACCCACCCCAATGTCTGGCCAGACCCTGCCCACGCACCGTGCACGCTGACCCGGGCACAGGTCTCCTCGCCGCCCACATGGCAGGTGTACAGGCCGGCGTCCTCACGGCTCAGGTCATGCACCACCAGCCCCCGCATGCCAACTGTGTTCAGGAAGTCATACTTGTCACTAGGACCCAGCTGCACACCATCTTTGCGCCAAACCACCTGGGCTTTGGGATCCGAGATCTCACACTGCAGAGCCAGCGTGCCACGTTCCTCCACAGATGTATCATCCAGGGCTTTCAGGAACACCACTGGCTTTGCTGAAGGAAACATATGGATTGGTTAGAGGATTTGGGCCCATCCAGAGGGCATGACCCCAAGACCCCCACAACAATGGCTCACCTCTCACCACCAGGCGGGCCGAGGTTGACACCTTGGGAGAGGTGGCGCACACCACGCCTGCGTCAGCCTGTCGGACACTCTTCAGCACTAGTGTATGACGACAGCCCTCATGGCTGATCTCATGGTAGCTGTCATTGTACAGGGGTGTCCCGTTGAGTGACCATTCAATGTCCTCATCCTCGTGGGACAGGTCACACGAGAAGCAGACCCGGCCCTCTTCTGTGGCTTCAGCATCCTGCAGTGGCTGTGTCACCTTTACCTCCCGAGCTAAAAGGAACAAGTCAGGGTCTCAGCACTGCATTGCCAGCTGAGCTAATACACTCCTAGTGGTTTACTACCCTCTCCACAGCTCCCTACCTTCCACGGTAACCTTGGTGCTGCTCTGGGCATTGCCTGCCTGGCACCGGTAGGTACCAGCATCATCCGGAGTAAGTCGGAGGATGCGCAGCTCTGCCATCTGGCCCTCCAATGTAATTTTGAACTTGTCGGATGGGGCCAGGGGCGTGTCTTCCTTGTACCACTGCACAGCCTTAGGAGCAGGTCTGAAGTCACAGGACAAGACCACTGACTGCTGCTCACGTGCTGCCTTGGGCTCCAGCGGCCGAGTGAGCACCACTGGGATGTCTACAGAGAGCGGGAAGAAGGCACAGCTGTGGGGTCACAAGAAACCAGATCAAGCTGCCTGTGCTCTGAGCCATGTCCACATTCACACGCGGTTCCTCCCCTCCCACCCTTCTTTGCATGCCTCCTCCTTGTCCCCACATGCCCACAGCCCGCCCTACATACCCAGCCCCACATGTGCTCCAGCCCTACATGCTCCAAACCCACCCTCGACAAGCACCTGAGCATCTATCCCGCTCAGCAGACCTCTGATGACTAGCTCACCACCCTCTGCAAGCTCCCTCCGGGCCCTCCACCTCCTATCCTGTGGCCGTGTTCTGCCCAACTCCCCCTCCCAAAGCCACTGAGCAGTGTCCACCCACAGCCCTGAACTCAGGCATGGCCGCACAGACCTCTGATCAGATCAGACTTTTCCTGCTTCCTTCACTCAAGCTCTCCCATGCCTCCTATGCCAGCTATGGTCCAACACAGATCACCTATGGTCCAGGGCTCAAGCCCTGACACACATCCCTACCCCACAGGCCCGAGTCTTTCCACTCCAGGCCTTGAGCCAGAGGCATCCGTTGCCTTCGGCCACGTCTGCTCATGGTACTGCCCTGTGTTTACCCCCACCTAACTCACCTGAGACAACGAGGCGGGCAGAAGAGCGAGACTTGCCGATGGTGAAGTGCACAGGCCCAGTCATGGTAGAGCAAGTCTTCCTCAGTGTCAGCCGGTGCACGGTGCCTTCCTGCTCCAGCCCCACACTTGCTCCTGCCTGCAGCACAGTCTTACCCAGGAGCCACTTGGGTGGTCGCACAGAAGGGATGGAGGTCTCACACTCAAACCAGGCGGGGGCAGGCTCCATCACTGTCACATCCTGCAGGCCCCGCACAATGGTGATGGATTGCTCTGTGGGTGAAGGACTGGTCATCAGCGGGATACTGCAGAGAGGACCAGTGTCCCAGGGCGACGTCCATGTTCCTTCCTGGGGGTAAACCCTCTCACTCCCCAGAGAGCTAGCATCTGGGAGGATGCCCGGGCAAGCCATACACATACACACACTCTCCCAGGAAATCCAGAAGACCGTGCATCTAGCCCCACGCACCTTCCACAAAGAACTGGGCACTGGTCTTAATGTCTCCAGCATCACAGGTATAGGTGTCCTCATCTCCAGGCTGCACATCGTTGATAACCAGCTTCCGGTAAAGGCCGTCACTGACCATATCATACTTGGGCCCGGGCTCAATCTCCACGCCACCCTTGAGCCATCGCACCTGGGCGCTGGCTCGGGACACCTGGCACTCAAGTACACCACGGTGCTTCTCCATAGCAATCTTGTCCCGCAGTGGCCGTAAGAGGGTCACGGGCAGCTCTGCGGGCATAGCCAGGTGGAGTCAGAACAGCTGGACTAGGCACTTTATCTGCATGGGCACCAACAGGCACTGTTCCTGGCCTTAGGTAGCCAATGGCTTGACCCTCACTCAATTCTTTAAAGCCAATGTCTCTGGTCGCACCAAGAGGTAGCCAAGTCAAGTGTACCTCTCAGGGATGGTGTGGGTCACCAGCAAGGTGGGTGGTTGCACCTCTGCTGAAAGCGCATCCCACTCTACAACTTCTTTTTGCCCATGAAAGGCCTCCCTGACCCATGCAGCCCTGCCCACTCTCCCCTCAGCGGCGTCCATACCCAGCCTGGAGCTCATCCATGGGCAGGGCCTTGCCAATTCCTCCCCCAGGAGCTCCCATCCCCTCACACACGCCAGCTTGCCCTCACCTGCCTGCCTGAAGGTTGTCCCTCCCTCCCTCCTCTTGGTCCCTCAATTGCTATCAAGGGTACCAGGAAAGGCATCCTGCTTGTCAGAAATCCATACCCCTTGTCTCCAGTGTGGACTGCAGCCTCAGGAAGGAGAATTCACCATGAACTCCCCCTTTACACACAGGACGGGGCCTAGTCCTCCCATCTCCCCAGGTGTCCCACATCCCGGCCCCTACTCTTCTGCTTACTCTCCTGAGTCACTAACTCAGAAGATGCTAGACACTTCAAGGCCTGTTTGAGCAACTTGCCTCTGAGGCCTTGTGCTCATGACCAATAACTACCAGTCCTTCCTCCAGTCCCCCCTCCCCCGGGACCCCCACTCACCTTTCACTCGAAGATGGGCTCGAGATTCTGCATTTTCAGCTACAAATTTTATCTCCCCTGCATCTTCTGCCAGGACTCTCCGGTAGATCAGAGTGTATATCCTTCCTGGGGACAAAGGCCAGTCAGAACTGGATGGAAGCACCAAGCATGGGGGCAAGGCCCTTGCCTACCTGCGGCCTGCTTTGCCCTCTCACCTTCCTGGCGAATGCGCACATTGTCACTGGGCCGCAGCTTGCTGGCCTCTCGGAACCACTGTCCAGAAACCTCGTCATGGGACACTTCACAGGAAAAGGTGGCGCCCTCCTTCTCCATCACCTCCACATCCTCCAAGGGCCTCACGATCTGGACATTGCGCCCTGAGGAAACAAGGGGAGCTCTACCACGCTCCCAAGCATGCAGCACTCCCAGCATGGCCGCCTCCCGCTTACTAAGGGATGGCAAAGTGGCCAGGCACCTCGCGGAGGGACACAGGAACACAAGGAGATCCTCACATTCACTGGCTGTATCCCAAACACCTTGCCCAAGACTCACCCTGCACCTTCAGGGATGCGGAAGTTTGAGCATCGTGGGCATCACACACATAGATGCCCTGGTCCCCAATCTCACACCGGTAAATAGTGAGACTTCTGCAGGTGCCCTGGGCCACTATGCCTACTGCTTTGCCAGCCTGTAGCTCTACACCATCCTGTAGAAGAAAGAGGCCACGTCAGGTGCTGGGGTGGCTCAACCCAGAGGTCTCCCTCCTGCTTGCTCATGACTCCAGATGAGGAAGGGACAAAGGCACCTTAAGCCAGCGGACGTTGACGTTGGGTCTTGAGAGCTCACACTCCAGAGTCACTTTCTCTTTCTGGGTGGTGACTACATCTTGCAGTGGGCGGCTGAAGTGCACAGGCAGCTCTGGGAAGACAGGAGGAGGAAGGTGAGGGAAGACAAAAAGCTATGCGGTAACTAACTTCTAGGCTAGGGTGGTGTTGGGGTGGCAGATTACACAAGGCAGATTACACAGCCTGTCCCCAATTATGGCTGTACGCTTGCCTAGGCCACGCGGGGAAAGGAGCTGGCAGGCTCTAGATTCTAGAGTCCACTCACCGGTGACTACCAGCCGGGCTGACGTGTGCACACCCTCAGCCCTGAAGGCCACCAGCCCACTGTCCTGTGGCCGTAGTTCAGAGAGCTTGAGCATGTGGACGGGGCCATGCACTGCCAGGTGGCATGTGGGCCCGGGTTGGAGCCGCAGGCCATCCTTGGTCCAGCTGCCTTCCACGTCTGCGTGTGACAATTCCACCTCCATGGTGGCAGTGCCCTGCTCCTTCACCTCCACAGCTTGCAAACCTCTGGCCAGCCGGACCTGGCGCACTGGAGTACATGGTGGGGAGCACTGATTAGATGCTGCAGTGAAACCCTCCGGTCCCACCAACCAGCACTCAGACTCCGTGTCAGCACCTTCCCTCCACCTGCCCACCCCAGGATTTGCAGACTCAGGTCTGCAACCTGCTCCCCTTCCCTTCTCTCCCAATCCAGTTTCCTCAGAACCCTCCAAGAGAAAAACCTGCTCATTAATCCTCACCCCAATTTAAGGCAACATTCCTAGCTCTGGTGGCTACCCTCACTCCTGGAGCTCGCCCTCCGGCCCCCCACCCCAGAGGAGACCCACCAATCTCTCTCCCCCCAGCCCCAGGACCGATCTCTCCCCCCAGCCCCAGGACCGATCTCTCTCCCCCAGCCCCAGGACCGATCTC